TATTTATTCTGGGCATGAAACCCTTCAATTGGCTAAGCATCGCTCAGCTGGCGGGGTGTAGATGGGTATCCCACTGCATTTATAACTCTTTTCTGAAACGGTTCGAAAAGCCGATAAAGTATTTCGGGAGCTCGGGATTTGTTTGCCATAAGTGTTGTTGTTGAAAACTTCTGAGCAATCAACAGATACGGATTATATATACATAGGTTTTCCCCTAAGGGGTCGGAATTGGTCACCTCTCACACTATTCACTGGGTGAGGTCGCAGCAACCAAAATTCTATACGGTCATGTATGATTGCATATGTTTTGCGCAACTCGGGTCAGTATCATCCCCCACAAGTCATCTTCTCACCGCAGCCGTCTCTCGCGCTCGGTATCGTGCGCAGCCCAACTGGTGGAAATATAACCCAGACAGCCGCTTAGCGACCGCGCGCGTGGACTTTGTCGTACCTCACAACATCCATGCTTACGCAACGGGTCCTCACAAAAGCAATTTCAAAAATTACTTCAACAAGAAAATTTTGGTGTTTACATCTGGTTTCTTCTACTCTTTGATTAAGGATTACCTCGCCTATCATCATACTGGTCAAATTATCCCAGCCGTTTGGTTCAAGTACGGATTGCAGCCGATCACAGTGAAACATACGGAATTTCGGCACTCATTCTACTATTTTATTACTTCAGTGAGTTTTTCCAGCTTAAACAATCATTTTAGAAAAGTAAAAACAAAAAATGGGAAAAGGCAGTATGGCTATTATACCGCGTACCCAGTATTCACAGTGAGCAGTTCGTGGCACAGCATTGAAATCTCTATAATTAGAGGCAAAACAATGAATGATTCCCATTGGAGTTATTTATTCTTATTTTTAATACTTGATTACTAGTTAAATACCCTCATTCGACCTGATGTATTTATATAGTCTTTCCGAAATGAAGATGTACAGAATACAATCATAGAGTTGAAGAGAAAAGGGAAGAAATTTCGTCTCCAGCACTTCAGCAGCTTTATGTTGCGAGCCGTGCATTCGATTCTCACCCAATTTTTGAAACTTTGGAAAGGTAGGGGGTCTATGTTAACAGGAATTTACAGTAAAGTACTAGTAGACAATTTTGGATGCGATATTCAAACGCTTCAAGCACTCTTGAGGCTACTTTTTCTGGCAGGTCGTTCCCATTGGAAATAAAAGCTAGAGGTTCGGCAACAGGGTCAACCGTCACGTTGGACCGATTTCAAAATTTTACGACCCCCCCCCTCTTGAAGAGTCTCCATACGACCCCCCCCGTCACTCATTAAGTTCCCGATGCATAGTTGCGAATCGAGCGATTCGCATAGCGAATCGCTGATCCGAGGCGTTGCGCCTAGCGAAATCGAACGTCTGCACTCCAGCGAATTCGAACTTCGCGCCACGAAGTCGAACGATGTAACCAGACGAGTGAACTAGGTAGCCAAGCGACTCCATTAGTGGCGGACCCCAACGTTTAAAGACGCCCGCCACGTGTCAAACAGCTGTCACATGACTGTGGGTCGCTGTTGAAAGTAGCGGGTACTTGCCTCTGGACGCGCGTGATTGAAGTGGCGGGCTTCCCTTCAAACGATGGTCCCGCTACTACGAGTCGCCTGGTATCCTACCGTTCGACTCGCTGAGCACATCGTTCGACTCGTCGCGTCAAAGTTCGATCGCTGTGCAACGTTACGATCCCTGGCCAACGCTCTGAGTCGCAGCGATATCCGCTAGCGAATCGCTTCGAGCATTGAAACTAGACATCGCCTCAGGACTGGTACGACTGCTCAGGAAAAAGCTAAGACTAGGGGAAATAAGTGCAATCTACAAAAAATCTAAGGCACTTGGCTCGAATTCAAACACAGTTAGCAGAACGAGCTCTAGTTTCCTGATATCCGGTAATTTACTAATGCATAACATCGCAAAACGAACTGCTTTTATCAGTTGCTAAACAGTACTCCCCTTTATTTCGAATGGCACTTTGCCTGCCTTTCATGAATGGGCGTTCAGAATCACAAAAAATTTCCATTTCGATATGCAAGCGCATATAAAACGAGTGCATGGCGCATCTCAGAGCATGAGAGTGTACAGCAGAAGCATCCGATTGGAGCACGGGAGCGTTGCGTTCGCATTGGCGCGCACAATCTTCCCCTCGGCGCAGCGCGGGCAGCGAGAAACAGCTATTGACTTTCAAATGAGCGTAATTTTGTTCAATATCAATATTTCTCAAAACGCTAAGTAGATTTGTCATCCAGAAAACTGCCTGTTTCAGAGGGTAATCACGATTATGCTCATCCTCAAAACTACGTCAGTTATGGGGTAGAGAACAAAAGAATTCACAGAAATGCGCACTTCGTCCTTTGATAGGTTGTAACATTCTTCAAAGAAGGAATTATGAGGAGCGGTGTGAAAAGTTGGAAAGCTCAGACTGTTTTCTTTCTAAAAAGTGCTCAAGCTTCCGCAAAAACTCTTTGCAAAATCTCTTTTCTTCAAAAAATCGCTCCGTTGGAGAGTTTTTTTACAAGACCAGGTTTTTGGCTTTCAATGGCTATAACTTGCTTCAAATTCCACCTTCTGCGATCCTTGTCCCCCTGGGTTGAAGAAGAAGGTTAGAGCTTTCTAACAAATACTTGAACTCCTCTCGAAGTTGAAGGATTCAAAAAATCGCTCCGTTGGACCGTTTTTGAGAAATCGCGGACCGATTTTTTGCAGAGCGCTGGTTTTTTGGCTTTAAATTGTTATAATTTTCTTCATATTGAACTTTTTGCAGTTCTTGTCCCCCTGGATTGGAGCAGAAGGTTAGCTTTCCAACGAATGCTTTTTCTCTTTCCAAAGTCGAAGGAGTCATAAAACCGCCTCGTTTGACCGTTTTTTTTTTCATGAATTTTCGGCGCTACTCTCCTGAAAATACGGGTTTTCAACACTTAAACACTGACAACTCTCTTCAAACTCAATGTTATCGGGAATTATGATACCGTGACATCGCACGAGCTCTGTGCTTCATCACAGATGCTGAACCCATTTCAAGAAGTTGCCGACAGGCAAATATTTTTGTTCCCAAACATTTCTTGTAGCCCTTTAGAAGTCAATCCACCTAAGAGTTCACTCTTTTGTTAACTTAGGTACAGTTTGAAGGCATTGGTTCACCTCTAGAATTATATTTGTGTACGTGCGCAGTCAAATATGGATACTTTCTCAGTAGACTCTTCTGCTCTGATGTGCGCCATGCACTCATTTGTGCTTAATAGTTAAAGAAGCACTCAAAAGTTTTACCTCTCCCCTACTGTCGTGAGAACTAACGTCTTGGTTTTAATGGTTCGATGGTCCAAGAGCCAACAGCTGCGAGCTTCATCACAACACACATTATGTTCCTTACAGCGAAAACCACCTCTCGTCATCTACGCCCAAAAACATCTTCGTACTGCAACGTTGACTCCTGCGAATACGACCCCCCCTCTAGCGTCGGTCAAATACGACCCCTCCCCCGTTGGACTTTGTCCAACAGACGGTTGACCCTGGTAGGCAATGCTGCAGAGCTGATGAAAATGAAATTAAGAAAAAACGTTTAAAACCCGTGAAAAGGGACAGCCTTTCTCTCCCGGTTATTTCCGCATCGCGTCGGTTTTAATAGGTGTTGAAAACATCAATGTGAATGTTGCTCTCCTATCTGCTGAGACGGCTAGAGCCTGACGGCGAAGGGTTAACCAACCTGTGGGGGTGTCGCGAGCGCCGCCGATACGGCGCTGCTTGGCCGTTTTGGCGTACCCTTCACTGTAAAGCGTACATTGTCCCACAGCCTTATGTGCCTGCTCCCTTTCTTGTAGGTACATTATCGCTTCTTCGACTGCAATTTTTCTTGAAACCTTCCCTTTCCCTTTGACTCTTTCATCTCTTTTCAGATTTGTGCCGTCGTTGGAGGCACGTTCACTGTTGCCGGCATTATCGACTCAACGTTCTTCACAATCTCGGAACTGGTTAGGAAGCATCGTCTGGGCAAGCTGTCTTGATGAACCATCTTCTTGAGTTTTTGCTTGTTAAACTGCCATAGTGTTTTGTTCCTTGTTGTGCTATTGTATTTATTCGTCGTTATTTTCAATGGATGATATGGGTATAATCTTAATAAAGTATTTCATGGATTTAGATGGAGATGTGGGATAAGGCTACATGGACACTGAGGTGCCATTTGTACTGCTTACTATAGTATATACTAGTTTTACGCGAAAATTCTGAACAGCGTGAATAAAGATGAAGGACAGGGCCAAGCATGTGTCGAAGAATCCAGGACGAGTGTGGTGTTACTTGGTCCGGTGGGAAAAGGAGTGTCACAAGCGTCAGGACCAGCAGTGAACAGTACAGTGTAGACCTATTCGGAAGCGGTTGGAACCGCCATGCGCACTGGATTTCACTGGAGGTGGCGCGCACGACGCGTCTCGGGCCGAGTATGACCAATGCCGTGCACGTCAATTCCTGTTCCATGCAACAGGGGTTCGAGAAACATCGAGAAGTTCTCGGAAAGGGCTGTTCGAAATGGCATGAGAATGGCGAGAAGGAATCCTCCTTTCAGGGCAAAGTGCGGTTTTCCGCGTCAACCCCTCACTAAAAGAGACTCTCGATAGATAAGGTCAGAATGCAAGCAGAGCCCCTAAGGGTGCAGCACGTTGTGCAGCAAAGGGTATGCCCCAAGCGGCTTAATAGGACCGTACCCGCATCGCTTGCGCCGCTGCACGCCCACCGATGAGCAACCTTCCGCCGTCTAACTGCCTAGCAGAGAGAGTGAGGGCGAGAGAGAGAGAGAAGGAGAGAAAGATTATGTAGCGTTGATGAAGGCAGAAAGCTTGACAGTGCGGAAATCAACGAGCAAAAAGGGATTCTCGTTTCTAGGGTTCTAAGCTATTTAGTTTTTTTTTCATCCGTGCATCACTAAACACCTATACTCCATTACTCGTGAGCTTCTTTTCATCGTAAACTCCGCCTTCAAATGACCCTCACGCTTCTCCTAGTGTACATTCCTTTTCAGATTGATGCTCCAAGAGTAGGTTATCTGCGAATTCTGCAACGACGCGGGACTAACGCTAGGGAGAAGAAGAAACGGTAGAAGCTCCAGGGAGGTAATATGTCCTCAACTAATAAAATACAACACATTTCAAAAGTTTTCTTACTTGATTTTTGAGGACAAGTCCTTTCTCATCATGTCGCATAACTTCGGTGTATTTCAAGAAGTACATACGTGGATGTTCCATATATTTTCTCCAATACCGATTCTCCTCAGGGTTTCTACTTTTGTTGCAGTGAATTACGCGCCCCATCAATAAATGAAATGAAGAGCAATCAACGAATATAAATCAGCTGTTCGCTGCGACAGCCATCAAGTTTGTGTAGTCCGCAATTGCGTATATGGCCCCGCCCACCCTGTCTGCCGGATATGGACTGTACACGTTGCAACGGCATTGCATTTCGCCATGCGCCTTCCTTATGAAGGGAACGGTTTTGCATAGCGACCTTCGTCATTGGAAAGGGGAGAGAAAGGGGGAAAAGGGATTGTAAAATCGGAAACGCCGGCTTGACCCTGGCAAGTGTGTCCAATTTTTCAGAACTGGAGGAGTGCGTCGGATGGCACTGCGGTGCCAAAGCGAATAAGTAGCCATGGAACTATTTATCCACCTATAACCAGTAATTACCATAATCAGCCACATCAAAAGCGATTCCCACGTCGTGGATGGGCAGACGGCGAGGAGACATTGGCGAAATCAATACGCCAGAGGACCTCAGAGCTCTAAGGCCCGTGCCAACTCTCACACATTGCCTTCAAGTCTTACTAGCCACACTGGTGGACTCATCAAAACTATAATATGCCGTTATCGGCTTTTAATCTCAACTGATGCGATTCGAAGGAATTTCACATGGAGTTTGGTTTGTCAAAGGTTTCCCTGGAAGAATATCGAAATCTGCAAGAAAAGGTGGGTTCGAACATGGCTTATTTCCTCCCTCAACATTTGTTTCATTTTTTTTGAACGTCGCTTTTGCAGCTCATATAATAGTGACGACTGAAATAAAAAGTGTGCGGGAGCAGTTTTATTTTGGGAGGATAGTTGGAACTAGGGTCAACCGTGCGTTCGCACTATTCGAACGAAGAGGTCGCATTTGTAGTTTGGAAAGGGGAGCTTCGCTTTCAGGGGTTGGATTGGTAATTCATTGAGTGAGGAGTTTCGATTGTTTTCGGAGTAAATTTGCCGTTTTTATTGCGCCAATACCCCCCCCCCCCCTCTTCCGCCCCTCTCACAACAGAAACAGCCATGATGGCGAAGGTGGCGAAATTTTTGGGAAAAGTGCGAACGACACGGTTGACCCTGGTTGGAACCCTTGAAGCACCATTATTTCATAACTCACTTCTATGGTACCCACCTGAAGTTTGGACTTATGGTGTCAATGACGCTAATTATGACTCGGTCTCTTTAAGTGATCCTTCAAGTGATAGAAAATTTTCTGACAGATACTACCAGTTCCGCGAAGTAACGTTTGGGAAATCCACTCACGCATTACAGGTACAACAGCTTCAGTCCAGGGTCGACAGTAAAACGGAAACCATCGTGAGATTGGGAAAAGATCTTGAAACGATTCAAGAAGAAAATCGTCTAATCAAAGCCAGATCAATAACTTTGGAACGAAATCTAGAACGGGTCGAAATGGAGGTGCACAAATATGCTGCTGTAAGTCGATATTTATTTATTTGCTTACTTTTTAATTAATTCTAAGTGCATATTTTGTGGCTGATAATTCATAATCACCAATCACCATTTTGTTTACTTCTCTCTCGTTTACCAACAGTGCAGTGCAAAATCTTAGGACACCCTCACAGCCATGTTTATAAAAAACCTATACTCACGAAATACCAGATCATCCGATTAGTTTTCCATATTTTTAGACACGTTGTTTAATTTTGGAGCCGGCGCAAAATCATAGCATACCCTTCTTCAAAACCTTAAAAATACAGAGATACCCCCGAATCTTATTGCTCTAGTACTCCAAAACCCTCAAGGACCACTCAAAAAAATTACTCTATCCATACAGAAAGAAACGCTGCCGCAAATTTTTAACATATTTAAAGCCACGAGTCAGGATTAGGCGACCATAGAAGGCTTTTCTTTCGCTAACATTTCCAGGAATGCGCTCAGAGGGGTGGCTCTCCCCCGAGCAAGCCTCCTTCACTGCTAGAAAGAAGGAGGTCTCGATTTCGGTCTTGTCGACGGCTTCTTTGCGGTTTTTCTTCACTGCCGTTCCACCTACCATCTCTACACAGAATTTAAGGCGCCATGATGCGCAAACACAAGCCTGACTTTTGCCTTTAAATCAAAGTGGTGCGCATCAGTGGGGAATTCTACGCTTCAATCTTGAAATTGTGTTGATCTTGTGAGTATTTTCGCAGCCATCGCTAACAAAGGCTCTCCAAGTGAGTCTCGGCAAATTTCAGACGCGCACTCCTTACTGGCCTTTCTATAATATTAAAGTCGTTATGCTGGTTTAACCACTGGCTTATTGGGGCCTTCACATGAAAAGGTGTGTTATTTAACAGAAAGCCAGTGTTTTACGCGAAACCCATAGAGAGAAAAGAGCACATGGTTTCCTATGACTTCCCTGTGCTCTAGTAAACTCATTCCAGTGGCGATATGCTTCAGGTTTAGGACTCAGAATGAGGTTGCAAATCCTCACATTTTTGGGAAACTACCACGAAAATTTCGTTGAGGGAATATCGCCGATACACGGCCTATATTCCTCTACTAGTGAACAACGTCATCTGAATCATCAATGTTGAACTCCTCTTCACCGATGAAAGGAACAAAATACTCATAACCTCAAACGAAAATTTGCTCAACAGGGCCCAGCCTTGGCCCGGTCTTTCAGTTGAATTTCTCTTCTCTGGTTTCAGTCAGAGCGTTTAGGAGCATAGCAGCACGTTTCGCAGGACCCTGCGCTAGTTGTCCTTATCAATGATTTTACCGGATGATTACGGTTTTATCCGCCTTCTGTCCTAGAGCTGATCCAGGCTGAGCCTGCGTGGTGATTTTGTTCTATGTAGACGCTCAGGTTATGCGCCAATCCTTCCAGGAAGGTTCTTTAGTGCATCGTGGGACCCTCTTGTCCCACTCGTGCTGAGAGTTTGGAGTACCGACTACGGTTTTCCTTGAGCTCCCGAAAATGGCTGCGTTGGTCGTGGTAGAGCCATCAGGCGTGTATGAAAGCAACGTCTGATTTTTACTTGCGGGCGAGAGGAGAGCAACATAAACCGTTTCTAGTAGAGTTGTCATACACCAAATAAGTGCTACTATCGTTGCTTAGTGGAAAAAAATCCAGCAGTAAGGAGAATTGTGAAGGGTGTCCTATGATTTTGCCCTAGCTCCAAAATTTAAAAAAATTTCTCTTAAAATACCGAAAACTAATCGGATAACCTGGCAACTCGTGCGTATAGGTTTTTCATAAAGGCGGTTCCAATTTACAGATTGCGATTAACGAATTTTTCTAGAGGCCGAGATATTCATATTTTTGGGGCTGTCCTATGATTTTGCACTGTCCTGTATATGTTTTCATCTTAGTGGGCATTATTTCGATATTTTCCCACCCTTTGGAAGAGCCCATCTTTAAGTCCTCGAAAAAATTAATTTTGGCAAATTTCAGAATGAGATTGACATCAAGACCAGTTTCAAACTTGAGAAGCAGCAACTTACGGACGAGATCGATAGCCTTAAAAGAGAATTGTCTGCTGCGCTGACGGAAAACGCTGAGCTGAAAGCGGAGAAAGTCGATCTTCAGAAAGACTGCAAGCTGTTTAGGCAGCGAATTGCCAAATTTGAGGTTTGACTCTGTTAACTTCTTTTTTATGTGAGTTAGTTAGAGCCGTTTACCTTGAGCATTCCGGGTTAGTGTAGTGCACTTAATTATTTTATCATGATCGCCTTTGCGCATTCCATGCTTGTGATTGGTTGGCCGTTCATGACCACCAATCAGGGAACTATTGACAATTTCTATAGTCATAACGAGCAGCTATCCTATTTGTCGCTGTTGTAATCGCGGTCACACTTTTCAGATCGCTAACATAGAGAGCCCATCAACTCCGAAAGAGGACACATATTCCTTCCGTCGGAAGCCTTCAGAGGATCCTGAAGCTGATGGATTGGGAAAATACGAGAAGTTGTATAAAGAGGTGGGTTCGTTTTGCCGCGTTATTCTGCGCTTTTTTAAGTTTCGCTTTTTTGAACATTAAATCAAAATTTGATGCAACACAAGTGGGATAGGCACGCCGTGTTTTCAGGATACGGTAGGCGCGAAATTTATGTAAGTGAGGAGTGACTGCAATGACTGAGATACTATGAAGTGGATACGAGACAACAGTCCCTCTGAAGTCGCCGCGCAGGCGAAAGTAGGTCACCGCACGCGGCGGCTACCGGTCCTTGCAGGTTGGAACGTTGCAATTTGCTAGGACAAAGCTAATACAAATGCAGAAATGGGGACTACACAGACGAAACAAAAAATCGTTGTATCGATCGTCTAGAGAGGGGGGTCCTAAACTTGGTCAATTGCTACGCTTCAAACTGCAAAGACGCCGGCGACGTCGCGCGCGGTGACCTAGTTTTAGCGCGGCGGTCGCAGGGGACTCTTGACCATCTCCCCTATGAAGTGACTCACATATTTCACCTATTACGCATGTCAAATGATTGTTTAAAAGTTTAAAAGTTCCAGCTTTTCTTCAAGGCGGGAATCTTCTCGATCATGAACGTGGTCAAAAGATGGTCGCCTTTCTTGGGCTTTAGTGGAGAGCCACACATTTTGACTTTCTGTTAGCCCTTGCTGCTTCAGGGTTGGGCTACTCCTCCTCAGCGACGTATAGGGTTGTATGAGATGTGCTTCTCAGACCCTCCCCCCCCCCCTTGGGTCACACGTATCATGAGTTGGAATGAGTTGGAAAACCAACAACGAGCCCTGAAAACTGGTTATTCAGAAGACTGTGAGGGACGTGATGGTATGCTAACGATTTTGAAAAATCAGTTAGCCATCAGAACTATCGAACAGAATTTGTTGCAATATTTTTGGAACACTCTACAGTTAACCATCGGAAGCAAGTCACATACCTTTATTATGGAAGAGATTCGAAGTGTTACGAAGTCACTGCCACAGAGTATAGGAAATTATTTAGGAAAAGTACGGGTTTCTCTTTCGACCGAAGCAATGTGTTCTGAATTTCCAATAAGATAGTGACAGAGAATCACCTAAGTAAGAGTAGTGAACGCAAGGGGCGAGTTATAACGTTATCAGACCATTCATAGTCACTTTACTGGAAGGTGAGCTGACGGTTATTTCTCGTCAGAAATTTAGTTGAGAAAATAGAGCGCTTTTTTCAGAGCGGTTCACATGGAGGTATACTATTAGCATAGGTATAATCAGGGTCAACCGTCATGTTGGACCGATTTCGAAAATTTGACGACCCCCTCCCCTTCTAGAGGGCCTCATTCTGTCGCATTCGACTCTGAGACCAGTCAACACAGCCCAAACTCCGCCCACTTTTCTCCTCCAAAATTGCCGTCGAGCGGTAGGGGGGGGGCAGGTCAACCGTCTGTTCGAACAATTCGAACGGGGGGGTCGCATTTGGGTTGTGGGAGGGAAAAGGGGGTCGCATTGCGCGCGTTCTGGTCATCAGGCAGGGCAGAGGTGTGTGTGAAAAAAGTGAAAAAGTTGTCGTTTCAGTGGTTGTATATACCCCCCGCTCGACGGCTATTTTTGGGGAAAAAGTAGGCGGAGTTTCGGAGTTTTGGGTAGGTTTTGGGCTGTGTCAACTGGTCTCAGAATCAAATAAGAGGGAAGCTCGTGGTGGGGGGATGGCTGGTGTTGTATTGGGGGGTCGCAATTGTGTATTGGTGGGGGTCGCAATTGGACCCCTTCCAGAGGGGGGGTCGCAAAAATCCCGAAAATGTTCGAACGTGACGGTTGACCCTGGGTGGGGGGGGGGGTCGACTACATGCGCCAGCCAAGTGCATCATCACTTCCCTTACTCTAACATTAAGGCTACCTCGCGAAATACGACCCCTCCCCTTTTTCCACCCCAAATACGACCCCCCCCTCGTTGAACAAAGTCTAACGGATGGTTGACCCTGGATATAATAACATTGCATTTCTCCTGAGTGGCTCTAGAACTGCACCAGAGTAGTATCATCTGCACCATAGCTGAACATAGAATCATATTAGGAAAGCCCCAGTCCCTTTACTGGTCTTTTGATGGAAATTATTTGAATGAACTGATTGGCAGAGGTGTTGCGACAGATCCTTAGGTACATTGCCGGCTATATTACCCGATAACGGGTGACATGCCACGATTCGATTTTTTTGTGCAGAATTCAAATTGCTAGCGGTAGCATATTAAGAGCAGGTGATACGATGAAGTCCTTGAGGGAAAATACACATTCCCGTCCACAAAACGAGAAGGGCGCCGGGTACAGACCAAACACCACAAGTGACGACGGCCTACAAGTAAATCTGGTTAGTAGTGGTTCATAGTGGTAGCTAATTTTTGATAAATGATAGATGTAATTAGTGACACTGATAGAATGCAACTGCAACAAGCTAACCATTTCTTTGGCAGAAAACATTTACATTTTGTGGAGCCGTCGTCACTTCTAGTGTATGATTGCACCCAATGCTCTTCTCGTTTTTTGAAAGGAAGTATCTCATATACAGGGGGAGGGGTTGGTTAAAAAAAGAAAAGGAGAAAGAGAAACTGCCCGTTGCGCACATCATCAAACTTCTATCGCACATGATGCCGCTGCCATCTGTCATGATGCCATGATGCGATCCCATCTAGTCCGCAGACCCCGCCCTCCCCGACTTCGAGAGATCGCCGGTACAGGGTGGCGAAAAATTACGTGCGCCATAAAAAACGTCCTAACTTCGTTTTGGTTTATAGAGAGTTTGAAGAAAATGAATTTATAAAACAGTAAACTCCATCATTCATCAATTATAAAAAAGTTTTGAAGTGGCCGCTGTCAATTTTGCTATAAATTTGAATTAGTTTCGACATCGAGACCATGGTGCGGCAAAGGGAGAGCCGTCCGTTTTGACGAAAGAATTCCTCCATTAAAGCAGCTAAAACCCCTAAATTACCATCAACTTTTTCGCTGAACCCTTGGGAACATTTTTAATTGGGAACTACCTACAAGATTCCCAGCGCTGAAAGTTTGATGATTTGGAGCAGTATCAGTGCTTTAGGCGACCCTTCATTGGTGTTTATAGATAAAATCACGGGAATCAATGCGAAAATGTACCATGAGGAAGCCTTCGAGAAAGATCTGGTGCTCTGGAAGCAGACTCGCAACATTGTTGTCTTTCTTTGTCTACGAACAAAAAATAAAGGCAGGATAGATCCCTTGACGCACGTAATTTTTCGTCACCCTGTAGATGTCCTCCAATAAGTACGTAGAAGCAGGCCCTCCCCCACTGCCCTCACCATCCTCAAAATATAACATCATCTTCCATCACCGCTGAGCTCAAGAAGGCCCAAAAAAATCGTTCCAGCTTGAAGCTGCTACGAAATTTCTTCAAACGGTTAACTGACGGCTTGCTTCCTAGGGACAGTAGCCCTGAATATGCAAGACCCTTCCCGACCAGCGTTTCAGATAACGTCGTAAAGGTCTATGATTCACCGGGGACCAGTTGAGCTCGAACCGTGCACAACAGGGTAAATCCCATGGCAAATTCTTGTGATATACTTGGTTCAGGAAGTTCTTATGACGTTTATTGATAGACTGGATGTGCCCTTTAACAGCAAGTTGGGAGCAGTCGGTTTGAGCTTAGAAAAGTCTGATTAACGCTGTTTGAAATGTGGAGTGAAGTGTCTCGTTTTTGGCCCTTCCCTGTATACCTGTAACGAGTGGAAAATAATGACGCAAAGTTGGTCCTTTAGCAGCATAGTCAACTGGAAAACACTACGACAGCCAGTTCTAACCCTTCTGTTTATAACACTGAAAGTGCTCTAGAATCAGGTCAGCAGATAAGCAGCATTGACTCTTCTGAACTCATTATAATCCTTTCATGTTTGATTCGAAAATTTTTGCACTGACGAAAGTCTAATTTTGCGATGGGAAGGTATCCAGTCTCTCAGAAATCGAGGGCTGCGCAGTGATGCGCGGTTGAAAAAAAAATCCTTGGAATCCGAGGGATATGACCCTTGGCTCTGATTTTCATCATCCATGCGTCGCTACAGCCCTGCTGGGGTGCTATACATCATCAGTGCGAGTGCTCTGCACTGCACCTCTGCTGGAGCCATGGAGTCCGTGACTAGAGTCCGAATAAGGGGTGGGGGAGGGGTGGTGCGTAGTAGAGCGTGTAGCGTCGTACGCTTCGTCGAGACCTTATGGGTGCTTCTAGCGCCCTCCTAGGGCGCTAGAAGCATGTCCTTTGTTACGAAACGCACACCGTCCCGCACCCATAGGGTCCCGCCTGGCTTCGCATTGGATAGTTGCCCTTCTTCGACTTTCAACCATCGTGCCATCGTGAAATCCTCCTTTAAAGGAATCTTCCACGGAAGAAGCTCCGCCTCCATTACCTCAGAAAAACGATACCCCTTAGGCCCCTAGCCTCATGAGCATAGCAGAAAGAACTGAACGCAAGCGTTAGTTTCGATAATATTGATCTTACACACAAGACAAAATGATCACTCTTTCCGTGGAGGATTCCTTCAAGGTATCGTTTTCTGTGGTAATCAGGGCGGAGCTTTTTCCGTGGAAGATTCCTTTGACTCGGTTCTCCTCGGCTATTCTCTTGCTATACTAATTCTCAATGAGATATATGTTGATTTTAGTTCAAGCAAATCGAAACGGATCTGCATACAGTGCTGGGAATCAAAGAAGAACTCGTCATGGAACGTGATGCTCTAGTGAAGAAAGTCGAACGCTTAAGTACAGAAATGTCATTCTTGCTGAATGGTGATCCACGACGAGTAGGCGTTTTTGTTTTTCGCTTTATTATATGTAGAAGATAGGGAGTATGATGAAAACAGGACCTAAGGGCGTTCAATCGTCTATGGGAGATGATGTGGTAACAATTAGCAGAATTATTTTTTTCAGGTAGCCGAAGATTTGGATACACTTGTAGCTGAAAATCGCTTCTTAAAAGCTCGCCTAGACTCTGCCAATGAAGAAAGCGAAACCATGAAGGCTACCTTGTCAAAGTACAGAGCCATGACTGAGTCTCGACCATCAACGGTAAGTGGGAATCAGTTAGCTATCAGTTCCTGTCAGCCATGTTTTGTGGCCAGATTCCCTACAGCGCAGCTTCTTTACCTGAGCGGAATTGAACTCGAACTATCCTTCCATTATTTTTGACCATAGTTCCTGTCATCAACTGATCCTGCGAGCTTTAGAGGCGGATTCCACGATTCGACGTATCAATCAAACCTCTCTGAGTAGAGATGCAGTTGTTCACAAAAATGGAAACCATAGGGTTCCCACAGCTTACATGGGAGGCCCCGTTCAGGGTGTGCCAAGCTTTTTCAAAATGGTTTCCTGCATGACGTTGGGGCACATATGGGCATCACAGAAGCATGGTTCATTTCTCCTAAACGGCCCTCTGAACACCAGAAAAGGGGTCCCTAGTTCGGTTCCTCGTGACCACATTTTTTTTGCATTTCGTGTGGAAGTTTCTAAGTTCGCGCGATATGGAGTTAGCATGAATAATTAGTAGCAAATTCATGACTGGGAACGGTCAGTAACCCTTACAAATAGGCTTTGATTGAAAAACTGGTGAAAAAGGTGTGACTAGGAACCCCCTTTTCTGGTATTCAGATGGACGTTCAGGAAAAATTAACCATGGTTCTGTGATTCCTGTATGTGCCTCTATATCATGCAAGAGACCGTTTTGAAAAAGTTTGGCACACCCTGAAAGACCTTCCTTATTAGTTGTGCGCGATCAGGGGGAGTCAGGATCGTGTGTCCTTTGCTGTAGATTTTTTAGTGTAGAGTAATGGCGAACGGTAATTGGTGTCTGCGACTCACTCGGTGCTACACTCTCTCGTCCGATCTCTCTGTTCATGCCCAGCGTCTCTTGTTCGCCGGCTTCTAGAGAGGCACTCAATCAAAGTGTGTCCGATAGATTCTTCCGTTTTTTTTTCAGTGACGACCGCTTCGTTTTCATTTTCAAGCAAATTGCCAATGCCAGAACATTGGACCTGTGATGGAGATGCTCTAGAAATCAAATCATCGGTCCAATGTTGATTATGCCATCGAAAATTTCAATCCTAGGGTCAATGGCACACAATTTTGGGAGGAAAAAATACAGGCTATTACATCGCCCGGTCCACGTGACTGTATCGGCCACATCCCTTCCAAAATGCCGTTACGTTTCTGAATAGAAGCAGGATACGTGGCGCATCCGAAAAGCATCGAAACAACGAGAGCCTTATTTTTCCATACTAAACTCAATTTTCAGGCTAATCCGGTTGCTAACCAAGATTCTTCACTGGGAGAGAAGAGCAGTGTGGCCGTTGTAAACATGAAACAGAGTAAGTTTTATTCCTCTCACATTGATTTCAAATACAAATCTCATCCTATTGCATTCGGTTCCTACAGGATCCTACAGTAGACCAGTTACCAAGTTTACTACGGCAACTACCCTACAGTAATCAGTTTTTGCAGTTAGAGAGCTGCTTTCATCACACGCGATCAAACTTGATGACAACGACTACAAGGCCATTACGGCTATTCTGCTTGATTTGTGCAATGATAAGCAAATGGCCCTGACGCATCTTCGCAGAGCTAACAAGTCAGTTTCAATACTAGTAACTTGGATACACGTCTTCTATTCTCATAATTATATAACGAATTAATCATTTCAGAGTTCTTGGTAACAGAGTGAATGAAGTGGAAAGTCATTTAGCCGTTTTGGAAGCGAAATCAAGAAGTACCAGCCCTAACAAGCCGTCGTAGTAAAACATGTAATATCGATTATATTGATTACCGGCATATAAGTACATATCTGTTTGATGAAGAGTTTGATATGCGCAGCTTATTAGAATGAGAAACACATTATGATCGCATTTTTGCGAGGCTCCGAACAAGTCGACGCTCGGGGCATGGAGTTTCCAATAATATTGAATTGATCCTGAATCATATGAAATCACATTTCAGAATTATTTCACCAGACGGTAGTAATGACCCTCACCGTCGTCGCCTTTCACAGGCTTTGAATTTGAAGTGACATCGACTTCTATACACATTGCCGTGCTGATCACATACTGGTTCATCAGGTATGCCATCGCAATCGCTAGCGCAACACGGTCCTACAGTAAAAATCAATAAATCAATAAATACACCAGTGACAAGAAGGGCGAAGTCATGATGATTGGGCCATAGGCAGGGTCACGATGCGTTGCGCATTTTTCAGCGGAGAGGGATCGTATTAGATTTTTTGGAGAGGGATCGTATATCTGAAATTTTACAGGATCGTGTTTGACGAGCGTTTTGACGATTTTCTTGAAATGTTTATGAAAAAGGGGTGAAATAGGTAAAATCAGAGGGTTCGCCGCTTCTCGAGAATATTAACCCCCCCCACCCCTCCCTTTCCCCTCTCACACGACAGAGGAGAGAAAGTGGGGGAGTTGGGCTGCTTACTGGGCACACAATCCTAAGGGGTAAGTAGGGGTGGGGTAGAGGGAGGGGTCGTATTAAAGGAATCCTGAGGGTAGTGATAGTGATTACACCTCTCTCCTAATCAGGGAAGACATTCAACTTCCCATGGAACTTCGAAATGAGACCCAGACATATTGACAAAGCTTCAAACGCTAATTACAAATATGGAAGCCAAAATTGCAAAATGAACCAGTCAAAGTTGGTTCCATGTTAAGCTTTGCGTACTAACCGTGCCAGCCTCTAAGCTTTCAGAGTCGCCGTGGAGTAGTGGGAGTGCTCTCGAAACTTCGCACTTCAACAAGAAGAAAACTTATGACCTCCCGGGTGGAAAGCGGGGGCACTATCGCTACTCCGTGACGACATTGAAAGCCTGGAACACAGCACGGTTCATATGTAACGCTTCACATTAGGCAACTTTGACTGCTCACAACTTCCTTGGCAGGCTCATTTTGCAGTTTTACCTTCCATATTTGTAATTAGCGTTTGAAGCTCTGTCGATATACCTGGGTCTCATTTCGAAGTTCCATGGGAAGTTGAATGCCGTTCCTGGTACGAGGGAAATTCTGACACTGGAACATTGGACAGTTGTCTATGGTCAGGGGCTCAACCCACAGTTAAGGTGTTTTACCATTGTTTACCATAACAGCGTATTTTGGTCTTCAGATCAGTGTTTGTTGCAATGAATGTCCGAAAGTATCATATGGGCGGAAAGGGGAGAAAAACTGTTGCCCCCTCCTCACCTTTTCCCCAGTCGATGAACTGCTTGGAAGAGTGAAAGACTGTGTCAGATAGGACCAGGTTCAAGTATTCAGTGGCTAGCATCTTCGGATATTTCAGACATTGGGCCCCAAAGCATAAAATTATTTAGGAGCCATTTCAACGCCCCGCCAAATACCGTATAAGCTGCTTGGACATGTAGATTGGTCTTGACCCTTTCCCAAGTGAGAAACGGTTTAGACACAATGGGCAAAATAATTTAGCTAACATTCGGCGCTGCGGCTCACCTCTTAGCTTGTATTTTTTGAAGGAGGATTTCGCATAAAGTCGAAACGTTCGAAGGAGGAGATACCTAACGGGAAGACATTGCGGACCTCCTAAGGGTGCGAGCGACGACGACAACTTGCAGCGAAGGATATGTCCGGGATCTGGAGCTTGACCGGCTCCCCACGCTAATCCCGCGACGCAACCACTTGGCCAACCACTGTCGCAGGGCTCTAGCGTTCTGCAGGAGAGCAGAGAGAGAGAGAGACGAAGAGAAGCGAGAGAAGAGAGAGGAGAGAGAGAGCGTTAGCGTTGAAAGGGGCAGCACCAATGAGAATCGCATCAATGCGGGAATTCCTCGAGTTCTCGGCCGTTTCTCGTTTCTTTTTCTTTACCCCAGCACCACCGACACCTCTATCTTGGTCCTAATTTGCTGCCTTCCAATCATACCAAATCAAAAGCATTTTAGGCATTTTCGAGTCCTTGAAGGCTTACCGTTGTAGGCGAAGTTAATTGGCCTGTTTGGATGAATTTTGTCATGGATACATTTGGTGTTTTGGAAATGACATCTAGTTGCGTGCGTTCCTCCATGAGTATCGCATACAGGCGACGAGTCATCCTTATGACAGACTTCAATCGTACAGCATTCACCTAGAATGAGAGGTAGAGTCCTTTAGTTGCACAAGAACGATCATGTTCTTAAGCTTTTCTTTACTGCTTAGCATTAGGAGACCTTCTAGCCTCTCCTCTCCCCGCAAAACCTACTGCTCTCCCTCATAATTGGAATTCGGGATGAAGAACAAAAAAATGTCTGAAAAAATGTGAAAAAATAAGCTGAAAAACTTGCGCGAATAGTCTGAAGATTAGGAAAACTGTTCTCCGTTCAAATTTCGCGCCGTAAAACTGTCACGAATGTTAGCGGGTGCAGTACACACTCGTTTATTTGGGCGCCGTCAAAATATTCTTTTGGCCTTGTCACCCATATTGAACAGTTCGCTCCGCATCCTAATATATCGCGCTCAAGCGTTTCCTCTACTCACTGGGTTCGGAGCCTGAATTCAAATATCTCACGACACACCTCATAATACGTGTCTACCCCACCAAGCACTTTCTCCATGCGTCTCTCGGCTCCTCCCAAGGATATGTACCCTGTCCACAAAGTGTGGTTGTCGTAAGTTTGTTTCTCTTTGGAAATTGAGTTTTATCCGTAGAACACGCAACTACATAGTGATTACATGAGATTACTTCACGGGAGAAGGATAACAAAAAAATGACCCACAATCCCTTCGAAGGAAGCGATTACGACGGAGAGGGAGCGCATGGGGGAGGTATATGTGCCACATTAAGCAGAAACTTGGCTGACAAGAATGCGAGATATGGCTCTTTCACGACGAATGGTGCGCTGGTTGCTGAGAAATGCTTGAAAATCGCCATGCCCTCAGGCACTCCACCCACTACAATTTAGTTGCTGATTTGGAGAGCTGCCTTGCCAGCAGCGACACGTTTGGAGCAGCTCGACTGGAGCATGGTTTGGCATGGTGTCATCAAACGCGTCGCGGTGAACTCGTCCGTATGTGCGCCGTCTTAGCCGTTGACCGCTATTGAGTGAAAATAAATGGCATATAACAAGGGGGTCTCCTTTTGCATTTTCTTGACGAATTTTTTTTTGCTTTTTTCGACAATGGCGTACCATTGAACATCCCCATGTCCCCTCTTAACTCATTCAGGATCTATCGTAACCGCTGCCGCTTAGATCGTTAACTCTGATATAAGCAGACTATGCAAAAGGATTTATCACGGAATTCTAAATTTATCATCGAATTTTGCTAGACGTTAGAAATTCTGTTTTCATGAAAGATTAAACACGACATCCTATAATCACAAGAAATTTCCCAAATGGCCGCAATCAGTTTTGATCCAGGCATCAATATATTCGTTCATCGATTCGATGGTGCAGAAAATGTTGTTGTCGTCCGTGTTGTTCGAAATTTTGGTCAGTTGATTTATTTTTGATATATTTAAGTCTAGAAAGCTCTCTTCTTACGTATATGGTGTCAATTACTTTAATTTGACATAATACGTTCTTTGCTGTCTTGATTTATTCTCTGTTGCTGTTACAGTTGACATTGTGCGTTGTTGAACAAACAAATAAACAAGTTTTCGATAGAAATTCACCCATCTTCTTACGTAATTTACGTTCGATTCCTAGGTGCTCTTCTATAATATTCACTACAACATTCCTCAATTGAAATCGTACGCATGGATCCCATAAATCCTTATTCTAATACTTTTTTGAGGCATAGCGGCGCTTATTCCTGTTTCAAAAAGTGGATTTTTTGGTAGAAATTTATTTTTAAGGTGAAATGCTTAATACCTGATTTAGCTTCGCTACCAGTGTTGCCCTTAAAAAAGTTTATCATTATATCTATTATGTTGCTCAGCCCCTACCCCTTCCTTTGGTGAGGCTGTGCAGATTTCTCCGTTACCCTTGAAGTCTGGTCGACAGGTGCACGATTTCTCACCCACCTGTGTGAATGATTGATAGCGCCTTTCTCATTGTTTTACTCGTTATACATTTCTTTTGTAGAAAGTGGCACATGTTCGTATGCGTTTGACCGTCTGAATCGCAAACACTTCCTGAAACTTACAATGATTATCAGAGTGCTAAATTTTTTGAGAACAAGGCTTCAGGTAGACGCGGAGTAGTGGCAAGGGGCGCCATCACCACAATCATCCACATGATTGCTTACTGAATCTGACCCAGCTCTGGCCAACTAAACACTTTTCCCTACCAGGTCAGTTACCAAAAATATTCATAAGCAGGTAAGAGTGTTTCAAATTTCCGCAATAAAAAAACCGGCTAAGCGCGCGCGTCCTTCGATAACGAATTTTTTCAACTTTTTTTTCTTGAGGACAACCTTCATTTGCAGAAATTCATCGCACTTTAACTTCATGACGGAATAAATAGTAGTAAGCAGTAGCAGGAATCACTCTAATCTGTCGGGCGCTTTTTTTTCTAAATTTAGAAATTTTATTGTAAATGGTTCCCCCCCCCCAGATCCACCACATTTGTATGAGGACGTGCACTGCTCGCCACAGCAGTCAGATTCTGTTTCCATTGTTTACCGTTTACCATTGTGGTCGTATCTATTCATTTTTTATCTTTTTTTTGGAAAGTTCTTAGTTCTTGGATACTCAGATTTACGCTCATTAGTATCAAAGGGGAAAAGGTTATTATTCTTGAAGTTAGATTTGACATATGTAAATGGGCTTGCTAATTGCTCTTATTGCGGTGAAAGCAGTGGGGAGGGGAAGGGGCTGTGGACAAGATCTCGGGTATCCCCAGGAGGCCCGTCGCTCGGCCAGGAGGCAGAGTCGCGGACGAGTCGCAGCGCTTGAGCGATGTAGGACGTATTTAAAATGGAACATTCCATTTAACTTGACGCAAACCCCTACAGTACGCGCGGAACTCGTCCTCTGATTCGCCTTCTTGTCGCGCGAAGGGCCTCCTGGGGAACCCCGAGATCTCATAAGCATCTGCGCACTCCTATTGGTGCCTGCCTGCATAGGGAAGGGTACGCTAATGGAAGTAGGCTATGGGTTTTTCGCCAACAGAGAAAGCATAGTTGAAAAACGGCTCGTAATCGAGTTGGGGAATTTTTGGACCAAAAGCGAGTGCAGAGATGCGAAATGAAACGTCATTCAAGAGAAAACAGGTAGAACCGTCGCAAGGCCGAAAATAATACCTCCCACCGCATCAGCAGTGAAGGGACTGGCTTGGGAGGAAGGCGTATCTGAACGAGTTTCCCGTTCATAGCTAATGTTGGCTCCGTGCCAGCAGCTGTACGGCAATCAACCCATCTGATTTCACGCCGTATGCCAGCTCCCCTTCCGTGATGGACGGTCACAGGTACTAGGTGGTTAGGCAGCCATGGCCTTTAATGCTAGGCCGGCGAGATCATTACCACTTGGTGTCGAGTAACGAGTGTGACATCATCCTGTGGTTGCACACCCAGGCACAGTACTGAAGGAGAGGGTTTCTTCGACCGCTTGATGCCGACCCATGCCTTCAAAATTCGCAGCGGTTTGCGAGACCTATCCATACACTGCCGTTTCTTCTGCCTTGTAACGCACGATGTTTCGTTATGAAAAAATCACGGCCGCCTTACCAGTCGATTCGCACTTTCCTTTTGGCATCAAGCAGCATTCGCCAGCATAGGCTAACGTAAGAACTTGACCATGCCGTTCCGCCTCACATTGAGCCACTCTACAAGAAAATATATGGATGTCTGAGAGCTTTCACGAAACGGCCGAAAATTATCTACTTGAACTCGCAAAGGTTTCGATGGGTCCGGTTGCCATCGCAGATTGGCGCGTACTGCTCCTCACACTGCCGACTGCAGCAGAGTCCCTGAAACACGTATTAGTTCCTAGTCGGTAAGAACTCGTAGTCCAGTTCTGCATCATCTTGCTCCACTTACCTTATATTGGATGCTTATTGTAACGTTGTTTGTTTTACGCTGTAAACATGCGTTTCGCCGGAAAACACAAGGGTTTGCGTGAGTGTCACCTTGAGAATCGCAAACTGGAGAAAACTCATAGCCGCAGTTCTCATTTGGACAGCATTCACCTGAATGTCATCAGATAAAAAATGACTCAATCAAAGTCATGGTTCTACTATTTGATCAATAAGCATGTTTGTACCATCGTGAAGTTTCTTCACTAGGAACCCGGTAGAAAACTTCTTCGCTAAGAAGCACTTCAATTTCTCGAGATGGCAGTCATTGACCAAGGTTTCTCCTGAAATAAGGTGATAGTCGAGCGAATTAAAAAAGAGGCGAATTAAAAGGGCATTAGTGATAAACATGGTGATGTAACATGCTAATGTTTGTAACGATGGAAAGAGGTGGAGCGTGCGACGGCAGCCTTTATTGGTCACTGAATACGCTATCCAATCAACGGTAGCGTAAGCACCTTATCGAACAAAATCTGGTGCTACAATTGCATTCTTTTGGACGTTTTACTTTGAACTGACCGTTAGAAGCACATACAGGCTTATACGTCATCGGACACTCTTTGTCACATTTGTTTTCGTCACATACGTCGAACTTTTGGATTGTAATATTCCTTCCAGTGATCTTCTCGACAATGCAGCGCTCTTTGCCGAAGAAGCACAAGTTCTGAAATGGTGCTATAATTTTATAAAATTAGCAGCTATTTCAAGTTTTTTTTTCATTGACCTTCTTATTTTCGTTCTGCAAGCGTTATCACGACTACTGCTGAGTCGTACACAAGCTGTCCGTTCGAAAAGCGAACTGACTGTATCCACTTGCTTTCTGGATGCTATGCTACTACATTATTGGAGTGTAAATAGCGATAATCTATGGTGCCATGGGTGTGGGTCAGGAGATCCCAGTTGGGGAGGCATGGCGAAAACGGCATAAAAAGTTGGGTCACGCATGCATGTATGCATTGCACCGCATATGGGAAGGCCTTCGTTTACCGTTCCTCGACAGGGTGTCACCCAAGAGGCCTGTCGCGCGGCGAAGGAAGGAGACACAGACGCGGCAAAGGACGAGTCGCAGCGCACATTATAGCGGTCAGGCGTCAGGTTGAATAGAATGCGACATACTACGTCTCATATCGCACAGCACGCCCTGCGACTCGTCCTTTGCCGACCTGTGTTTCTTCCTTCGCCGCGCGATGGGCCTCTTGGGGGACACCCTTCCTCGACAGTTCGAATAGGTTTGCCCAATAATATACCAGTAGAGTTTGCTTTGAGGAGTGAGGACTCCTGTGGGTCATGCATAAGGCCGGTGACGGAAAGCATGGATGCAGGATAAGTTTCCTTGAATGCCGAAGATTTTGTAACCAACCGAGTATTGTTTTGAAGATAGTGTCGACCAACAGAACAAAATGTTCATATCACAAGTCCAAAAGCCTGCAAGAGTACCTGATGAGTTACACCCTGGTCGTCACAAACAGGTGTAAAGTGATGTGGGCAGTCCATCGTGCAGCATTCTCCTTTGTATGCCAGTCCTATCGGTGCCCTAAAAACGCTTCATCACTTAGCTACTCTCATCAGAAATATAATATCATTCAAGTAATGAAACGCTTCTTTCGAAGTGTTTCATTTTATAGTGTGGAATACGAGAAATAAGGACGGCACGGATAGCGATGGAGCTAGAGTGCGACTGAAAAGAGAACCGAGGTGCGAGCTGGACCGTCAGTTAGGAAGAAAGGCTGAAGAAATTACAGAAAACCTGAAATTAAGGACCTCCCTCCCTTGCGTGGTCTACTATAGAAAAAGGGAGAGACTCAACGCGGCAAGGAGAGGAATCGCGAGAGAGCACGCCATACGAGAGTGCGCAGGGATTGTGCATACTGTGAAAAAATAGGGATGGCAGCGGCTGCAGAGATAACCGCAGGGCCATACTGCTCTTGTCGCACGCTGTTACACTACACGTCGTTTAATGGGAATTCCACCACCATTCCCACGATTTACTTATACATACTGAGTAATGCTGAATTAGTTTTGCATCGTTCATGTTTTGCATAGTCACACTCAAAATTTACGGATGTTAGGTGAGGCTGCCGCGCCCGCGAAATCGCGCCTGTCCACGCGGCCAAAAAAGCCGAAACGCGCGCTGTTGCCAACGCGTTATCGGGCTTCTAAAAGCACCGAGAGAGGGATGATGAAAAGGTTGTAGTGACCAAATATTCCTTTCCTAGCATTTCAATTTTCTTCATCCATATATTATTATTTGTACTTCAAAATCCACGTAATATCCAATTCACGATTTAGAAAAGAACTAAAAGTAGCGGGTCCAATAAACATGAATGAGCATCCAAAAAACCCAATACTGCAATCCACGTTCTAACGGTTTCTATGAATAAACAGTATCCAAGCTTCGTAGCTAGCCTGCGTCCTCTTTCTAAACCACGCAGTTCTGAGGCTTTGTTTTTTTTGTAATTTTATAAAATTCCTGACTCCTGTTGACTATCCATTGTCTATCGCATCAAAATAAACTGCCTCGTAGGCGAAACTGGCATTTAAGGAACCATCCTATAGACTAAAAAATTTTTATCGCACAAATACTCAACCCAGCAGTGCTGCACAACTTCTTATTCCAAAGTTTGGACCTCTCAAAAAATATTATTTTTCCGGCAGTCCTGATGGTGCTTAAAAACGGGAATCCTATTATTCCAGTTCATGCAGTCTCTAAAGTGTGAACCGAAAAGCCGCTCTGAGAAAGCGCCGCACGTTTTAAACGGCCTCAAAACTCAGCGCTTCGCTAGCAGAGCGCACACTCACGTTTGCCGACACTGTGCCAACTTCAAATGGCACATATTAGTGTAGGTGATATCATCGGAGCCACATACAGGAGCATACGTGTTTTCGCACGAGTTTGGGCAGTTACTCGACCCTCCAGTGTACTTCTTGCCTGCAGTAGAAAAATCAGAAGTTCTCAGCCTCCGAACAACAAAACAACGTTACCCGTTGCTACTGCAGAAGTCACTGTTGCTGGACGATCCAGATTCTCGATCACTTCTTCGGAATCGCTCGAAACGACGACTATTGAATCACTGAAATGAAATGGCGGATGGGCAAGAATGTGTCTTCCTCTATAGCTGTGTGCTCTTAAAAGCACACCTCACAATTTATATTGTGTGCATTTTATGCAAAAAAGTTGAAGATATGTAGTGAAGTGAACCAGTGGTGAAGAGAAGCGGGAAAAATTTCGTCGAAAGCGTCAAAATCAAAGATTAACTCATTTCTGTAATCCGGCTGTGCTGAGGCAATGAGACTCTGAGTGTGGCGAGGAGAGCGCGTAGAACAGCTCTGGGAAGCCACTAGTGCTCTTGTCGCTTATTTTCGAGCCGGCAGAACGGGACATCTGCGGATTCGGTGACAGCTCTATCCTACTCATTAGAGGGATCGAATCACGTGAACTTTCCGTGGAATGTGCTCTTGAGAGCGAATTGAATTATACATAGTCCTATCACAGTCAGCACCAACTCTTCAGGGTAATTATTGCACGCAGGAGAAACAATCAACCACACTAATTTTTCTCAAAAATGCAAAGTATGAAAGAGCGGTGGTGCAGTGAGTAAGCGCTGATAATCGAATGCATGGCTCAGTGATCAAATTCCGGATCGGATCCCGGATCAACCATAACTTCCATCTATCTGATGTTGGCTAATTAGTATGAGCGTTCTCCTCTAGTTAAAATATTACCTTCTACATCGACTTCCGCCCGCAATTCATTACATTGGCCGAATCTCATTTGAATCGACTTCGTATGCTTCTAATGAAGGAATAACCGAAACGGCCTCTAATTTGAAAAGCCTCTGACTACCATCTAACCGCAAAGATTTTGCGACAAAAATACATTTTTTAAATGAATTGATATCCTTAATTCAAATACATTTCAATTTTTGTTTCAGGGCATACCCGTAATTCCCGAACGGTATGAAGTCCATGATACATGAAGTGGCAGGCAGACGTTGAAGCATGTACCCACGTGGCACCACGTCTTAACAAGGCCAAGACACTGAGCCAAGGATGCACTATGGGCTCCACCCACCACCATCAATCCCGCCCTCAAATCGCTCCGCTGCTTCCAGGAAGTGAGTTCTATTTTTGCCCTTCTCGACGGTTTGTTCACGCTTTCTCTTTCATTGCTGGCATTACTTTTCACATCTCCACTGTTACTTTCTAGCGCAGCAACAATTAGTGTTCTTTTCGATGCCGGACTCTGCCTTTAAGTTATCAAATGCTTGAAGCCCTACTATGGCTTGTGGACACTTCCACACTTTGTCCGGTCTGGTAAAACCGCAGTATCATTCTTATGGAGAACAACACTTTCTTTTTCGCACTTTAAAAAAATAACTCTACCCTATTTCCTCGCATGATCCCAAACGAGCAACTCCTATTGGAGGAAGTTGCAGTTTCGAGTTTTGGCAGTCCTCCATAGCCAACGCACATTTGTTGGCATAAGTCCGACCGTCAGTCCCACAGACCGGCGACGATTTTTCGCTGTTACACGATAGATCCAGTTCACAACATCGTCCAAGCTAAATCAAGAAAAATTAGTGAAAAAGTGCTTTAGGAGCTTCAAAGGACACAGCTCATGACAGAAGTGTTAGGATTTAACGAATATGGAAGCAGAAAAAGTGCGACATTGCTGAGGAACCAGTCCAAAAGCAGCTAATTCGAAGAAGTGAAGAAGCGTGAACGAAAAATCGCACGACTGTGAAGTCGTGAAAAAGATTGTTGTTTAAAATGCATAACAGGAAATTCATCAAATTTGAACGCTCCTGTTTGAAAAGGGCCAATAAAAAGTGCTGAGCCACAGGTGCACTCGTCCGTTGAAAAAGTCTCTTCAGAAGCCTTCCCGGGAAAAAACTGGGCTTGATTCTATACAAGTTCAAGGCACACTTTACGATCACAAGGTGTTGTTACCTCACTTGAAAATGAAGGCGGAAATGCGAAATGGTACTTTATTTGACGAGTTGGGCTGCCGAACGGATGCTACGGCAGTTATAGGTACAGGCAATCAATGCCTCGCTCTTGCCCGTCTCCGTTAGATGCCTACGGCCCAAGAATTTCTTCGACTGTGTGCTAATCCAGCGCTACCGGACTGAGCAGAGACTGCCTGCACAGGACTGAGAAGGAAGAAAGTGATTGTGGTATGTTCTTTCGCCCAACAGCATAACCTGGCGCTATCGAGAGACACGAGGGCATCGAAGTGGCAGTGTATTCGAAAACGATCACCTTTTGATTGAAAACGGGATTAGTATGCGTTGTTATTTCGACTTCCTCGAACTTTCTGCTCCTCCTGAAAATCCTAAAAAAATCCCAAAATTCGCTGTGTCTTGCAATACCGCCAGGTACCCTTATGAAGGCGTTCCTGTTGCACGAGGGAAGCACCGCCTCACCAAGCGCTTGGTCCTTTGGGTTCCTTCTCGGGAATTGGTATGGGGCTTCGGCGCAACTCTATGTTGATGATATTCCGATTTCACCTCCAGCTCGAACACCACTGCAAAACTAGCCCATCCATAGAGATGCGAAGAGGATTGAAAATAAAGAAGGAAAAGGAGGAGAAACTGTCAGAAGTACTGAAAGTAGAGGCCTCATCCTTAACGATGATTGATTAACAGATAGTCTATGAGACGAATAATTCAAAAGACGCTGGGCGCTGGGATTAAGGAACACAGTCGTGGAAGAGAGAATATGCAGAAAAGGCGAGACGCAGACTGTCCCAAGCGATCAGTGAATGGATGGAGTCCGCCATTTCAAGCTCCTAGCACGCCACGAGTTGCCAGAGCTTTTCAGTCACGAGCCAACGTGTTCATAGAAGATGTAATTGCTTATTCCATTTGAGAAATGTGCCTTCATAGAAAGACGAACAAGGTCAAAGTACTTCTCGAGAATAAGAATACAGCAAATTATTACGTGTTGAATGCTGATGTTTATGCCAGCACTCCTTTCCAAAATGCAGCTCAACATTTGGAATTCGCAAACAGTACGAGTGTAGCCGTCTTCGTCACACACAAAATGATCATCTGTAGCGTTCGGAGCTGGCGGAGGACACGGTGTCGCGAGACATTCCTGGCATTTGCCTTGAAAACAAAAAATATTAGAAAATGATATCTTTTTTTCTTGAACTCAATTGAAATTTGCATATAAGGAATTCTCTATGCGAAATCACTAATCCCAGCACGTCCGAAAAGACGCAGACACAAAGCCATTGCGCTGAGCCGATTTCAGGACCAACGATCTCCATCCTGGAGGTAACCTCCCATAGATCCCATTCGAGTCTTCAGCCGGGTTTTCATCTGGGTCTTTATCTGGTGCCTTAGTAATTATACCCTCAGCGAGACACATTAAATGCTAAAGCAGCGAAATTTGCTGAGTCCTCAGTTATTATCTAAATTACCTGAGTATCCTTAGATTTAGAACCCAGGCAGAATTCATGTGAACAATTTTCCTCGGTTTTTGGGGTAGATCCATTGAGGAAAATCCCCCATGTTGCACTCCCGTACCTGGAAAACACTCAGCAAGATCGCTGGGGCCTTGCAAAGTTAGCTTGAGCAGCTGCAACGTTTCCGGACTGTTGTCTAGCACCTCTCATCAATGCTCTCGCCTCAAACTCTCCTCCCTAGGCTCACTGTGTCATCAGCACAGCCTCATTACTGAGAAGAGCCTGAACAAGCCTTAACCCAAGCGTTTTCAACACATTCTTTCTTTTTTTCTCTCTTGCAGGCCCATTTCGCACCTATACGCTCGCAATCAATCGTCAGGACTTTGCGAAAACCACTTCACTTTGCCTGCCCGCAGCATGATGGTGTCTGGTGCTCGCTCATCCGCTGTTTTATTGCCGCTGCTCCTGGTGCCAGGGTCAGCCCTACTTTGCTACAAGTACCAACGGGGGGGGGGAATCGTGGTTTGTTGAAGTTTGTGGTGGGGGGGAGGTCGTACTTCACTCAGTTGCACGAAATTGTATGTGTGAGGTGAGAGCGGCGGGAGAAAATTTGCGGTTTCATGGTAGTTATACTATATCCCCCGCTCGACGGTGTTCTTTAAGGAAAAGTTGTTGTGAAGGGGGTCGTATGAAATGTGCCGTGCAGGATGGGGGTCGTAAAAATTTTGCAAAAAGTACATACTAACGATAGGACCGACCATGCCTGATGCGTGCCTTCTCATCTCTTAAAGATTTGAAATGCCTGCCTCACAGGCTCCTTCCAAAAAATACATGCAAGACCCTTTGCGTTGGATATCGGTGAACAAGCAGTTGACCCTGCTTGAGCAGGCCAGCATTCGAGCATTCAAGTGCGAGTTACCACCCTACAAGGCTGATGGAAAGGGATATTTCCTGATTCTCCACTGAATCGTAATCATCTAGGTCAGCTGTCCCCCGTTCTCGGCCTAGCCATTGATCCTGCCGCATCAAAGAGATCCGTGTGAAAAAAATTTCGTAGCTGCCACACAAAAAATTGGCTATCTACCAATTTATCGTACCCATTTCACAGGTGTTCACTTGGCGCACATAACCGGAAGTCTTTACAATCTTGGCACTGGATTAAGAAGATTATGCCTGAAGGGTATCTGCCACATTGTGTGGTGTATGCCACGCACCTTCCAGTGGAAACTGACTGTTCGACTGAATTCCTATCGACCGGTAGCATGGTTCTCAAGAACCAATTAGCTTTTGGCTTGTTCCTTCTCGAACGTTGAAGCAACAAACTCAGATCAAATTGGCGGGGGGGGGGGTAACAGCGGTCGATAATGAAATTGTGTATGCCGAGCTGACCGAAATCAAAAAAGGAGCACAGCAAACCGCGGATGAAGCCCTTGGACAAGGACTCCTCCTCCTCCTCCTCGGACTGAGAGAGGGGAGTGTCCAGACGAATGGGGCTTGCTTGCAACATAATTCTCCCGAGCATTTAGCCACTACATCTAATCCACGCTGCGTGTCATGAGGTGTGCGCGAGATATCTCGTCCACTAGCTCTTATTAGCCGTCATTAGCTCGTAGTGCTTCCACCAATTCCACCAACTGAATCAGCATGGAGCATGCCTTTTCCCTACCCATTTTCAGGAGAAGTGAAACACTGGGCAGAGCTGAGCTCGGGACAGCTAGCACCTTTGATTACTTTACCATAGGTAGGAAAAAAGAAAGACAAAACTGTAGGAGCTCACCGTAGAATAGCACTGAAAGCGATTCATCCTTACATCGCTCTTTGTTGAAATGGCATAGGTTTTTATATGTGACAAAATTACTTCCACACACGGGCTTCTCGTTTGATGAACACTCCTGTGATGAATTTTTAATGCTTTAGAAATTGTGATTTCACAGCTGGCTACTACTTACTTCACGGCATCTGGATTTAAGGCAATGCTCCTCAGACTGTGTGGATAGCGTCACTCCAGATCGAGCGGCGAGGCATCGTGCATGGACGAAGACGCAGATGTTCCTGAAGGCTGTCAAGGTTCGCTTGAATTCAAAAATTTTGAAATACGCGAGTTACTATTTGGTTTTACCTGTAGTTGCGAGAAATTCTCCTCCCCCCTCCCTCCTCCACCAGCAAAAATTTTCATTATTTACCCACTACTCCACTTTCCTGAAATTGAGGCAGCACTAGCCCACAAAGCGAGCAGCGAATTCTGCCACTCGGAAGTAGCGCTAGGGAGAAGAAATTCCATTTTCCGGAAAATGGGCTGCAATTTCCTGCAACTCAACCCAAATGTAGACGGACTGGAAATTTGCGTCTCAGAATAGTTTTCCAGTAGAACACAAATTCACATGTGCTTGCGCTCACGTCAAACAAAAGTGCTAACGAGGTGCAAGATTTATAGGCGCTTGACGTTTTTGGCCCTGAGGCCATGCGCTTTCACACCAAAAGGTGCTATGTGTATTTTAAAGATTTAGCAAAATTGGCTTGAACAAAATTCCATGCATATTGTTACCTCCGAGACAAAATTTCAAGAATTGCTCCTCTTTTTTCCAAGTGAAGGGTGAGTTTTGAAAAAGAAAGTTTCTAGCCAAGTTGCTCTCCAGAACTAAGTAGCGCTAAAAGTAAGCTGAAGTTACTACACAAAGCAAGTCTGTACGTACTCGTGTAGAACTCCTCGGGTGTCACACACTGGTTGTCCCTCCAGCGTACAAACAGGTGGAGGGCACTCGAATGCCGAGTTTGTGGCAGCTGACGGTTCCACTAAACAATTTGGAAAATAGTATTTTCAGTCTTGTAATGCATAAAGTAGACAATTAGACCGTACAAGGAGGTGAAGGCCCAAATTTCTGCAGCGTGACCGATTCCGAAGAAATTGCCTGAAAAAAACTTAACGGAGTGCATACATAACATCATGAAATATTTAGCCGTCTACAGACTGCAATACACACCTTGCCCTACTCAACTCATTTGAACATTCCACCATCACATGATCTGATAATCTAGAATCAAGATGAAGTACAGGGAGAGGTGGACCGCTAATGAAGAACTAGGAACAGCCTTGAACGTGGAGCTTAAAGGCAGGATTAAATTGATGGGTTGATTCCTCTCAAATGAGAAAGTAGGGATGGGAGGAGGACCGCCAATGGAGGAAAAAAAAGGAATCAAATTCTGGAGTACGCAGGAAATACGAGCATTTTGCTCCATGCTGAGGAGAAGTTCGAAAGATAGGCAGGGAGATGAGAGACAATGTGAGCGCGGAGAGTGGCAGAGAAGCCCGAGAAGAGAGAGCATAGCAGATCAACGCAGCATGCAGACAAGTTATCGAACGGTGGGCGGACCATGTTAAGTTTGGGAGTCTGTTAGAAGTCCATGGCGGCTAGGGTCCTTGTGACGCGCTTCGATGTGAAAAGGTGGCGCTACCTTTACAAGAGAACCGTGCTGCGATGAAGAGATAGTGGGCGCCGAGGAGAAAGGATAGATGAGAAAGCACTTCAGAGGAGAGGACGCAGACAACCCGCAGCAAAACTTTTACATTGCGAGCAACAGCGTGGTCATGACAAGCTTTAGCGCCTTTGTGGCGGTACATGTTTTGCCCTTGTGCAGAAATCTAGAAAACTTCTCACCTGTGGGAAATTGCGGGCTGCTTCAGGACACGATTTCAACGCTAACAGTGTTGGAGCTGATCTTCCTTGCTGAACTGTCACTCAGATTTTTAAAAACTTCGAAGCTTGCGTTGTAATCTCAGCGAACCTTTCTTATATGGCATGCGCTTTGTTGAAAATAACAAAGATTCTTGTGCGTGTTCCCTTGAGCATCGCAAACTGGCCTCCTCTCTGCTGAACAATTCTTAGGGCATACTTCATCCTGAAAAATACAATTTGTTCGACCTGAAAAGCACTTTGGCTAACAATCACAACCTAATGGATTCTAAGAACGACACAAAAGATTCGGGGACATGGTTCTGTTCGCCAAATCTTTCGATCTTCTATTCCGTCGAACAGAGTCATGTCCCAAATCTTTATTCACTTTTCTCTCAAACCCGTATTCCACGGTCAGTTGGGTACTTGTTCCGCTTCAAAATGAAAGTAAACGTTTGAAGTGCGCTCACAGTGGAGAAAAGGACAAAAGAAATTCCCAAAAATCTCGACTTGATTCTCATCTCTAACAAGACAGGCAGGCTTGTGAGCAGGCTTTTCTGTGGTGAGAAAGTGGTGTTTGGACGATTTATGAAGTTCTGGCCCCATGCCGAAAATTCCTGACTCCAAGCCAGCGCTCGCTGCTAGGGTAACCTCTAACCGCGAAAGGCGAATTGTGGACGAAGATTAGGCGCAGTGAAGGCAAAGAGAGCTTTCAGCGCCCTTGCAGCGCTCATTTGAGCTGCCAAAGCGGTACATCTTCTCAAGTTATCCACACTCTCATAGGGAATAACCACACCCAACTGAGCGCGCAATACGTTTCTAAGCCAGAGCTTCGGACAAAGTTCGAATTTTGTACGAAGCAGACATCACAATCATGAGAACCTAGGTTACAGGGGATAATTCCTTCCTTAGCGGACAGTTCCAAAAAGGTTCGCAATTTCGTTTTGTGCTCTTTCTTCTGGAAAGAACTTCCCTGCAATCCTGATGGAGAGAACCATCTGTGATCGCGTTCTCGAAAAGAGCTACCCAGACCCTTTTTAAGTGAAATGCTCACTTGTTCTATCTAAGGCTGGTGTCAGAGTCCAGGATCTGTCGCGCGAATCGCCGACAGATTGCGGGAAGAAATCACAAGCAGGGTCAACCGTCCGTTGGGCAAAGTCCAACGCGACGACGAGAATAACGCTGAGAGTGAACGTACGCACGGAGACACAGACGGCTCGCGGGTGGCGAGAGTGAATGCCTGCGCGGAGATCGGTCAACATTGGTCCAACGTCGCTCCAATATCGGTCCAACGTAACGGTTAACCCTGATCACAAGTGCCCGGTCAATACTGCGAAGTGCTCTCCGATCCCGGCCATTTCTCCTTGATGGAGATGGATGAGTGACAACTGTTCATGATTCTACTTGTTTCATATTCAGTGTTTCCAATGTTCAAATAAGTACTTGCGATTTTTGCCATTCGCGCGATTCCCGCGACGGATCAGACCCTCGCACCATTCTAATTATGTTCTCCGGCAGCCGTCTGCTGTCGTGTGTGCGTTTGCTCTGCGGACTTCACAACACATGTGGAGACGCCTACAAAGAATGGTAGTTGTTTTGCGAGCTTGTATAAGCTCGCACATCCCAGCTTTTCACATAGGTCAAGTGGTTTGCATTATCCCCACTCACCCTCCCTCCCTCCCTCACCCGTGAACTGCTCACATTCTCCAGGCTAACGGACTACTCCTTTACACCGAAGGATGCGAGGCGCCGCGGCAGCGACTTGCCCCCCCCCCCCTAAATCACCGTATTGTTAGCACCCAACCGACTGATCATGTCATACGCGGTAAACTATTAGCTTTGCCGCCGTCACTTGTGTTGTAGAATCTGCACTGCAGACGCACTTCTCTGCCGATGCACAGTGTTTATTTTTATAGACAAAGCTATCGATGACAGCATCAACGCCAAACGTTTCCACTCACTTTCAGCGAGAAAGTGAGAGTTCGAGAATGACATTGACCGAGGTGAACCAACACTCGTTCCCCTTCATTGCGCATTCTCTGTTGGCAGTTGAAGCGAGCCAAATCACACAGTGAGCTGTGGGTCTGAAAATCAGAGGAGGAAGTGGAAATGGTCAACAGTTACAATAGTGAAATATACCTTGTTAAGATTATCACAAATTGGAATATCCGATGGCAATATTGGACACGGAGGACACGCCATTTCAGCCTTAACATCATTAGATGCTACAAATACAATCAATAATCGGATTAGGGATTGTTATTGGGATGTACCGGTATTAAAAATGTCCAAAAATTTTCGAATCGGCAAATTTGGCAAAAACTGGTTTGGCCATGCTCCAGATTTTGACATCTTTTCTCGGAAATCTATGATTCTCCTTGGCAACGTTGATAGGGTGTGTTTCGTTAGACCGACGTCATAGTCGGCGACGAAACAAGCGATGGAGCGATCGCGATCGCTCCATCGCTTGGTCCGTCGCCGACTATGACGTCAATCTTAGCACGGTAAGCGACTTTTTCGCTATTTGCAGTGCGAAACTTTTTTCGCTGTGGGAACCCAGGTCCAGCCCTAATCAGGGTAAGTTTATGTACAGATCAGCGAAAAATTACAAGCGCCATAAAAAATTAATTTCACAGAATTTAAATTTATTTCACGGAATGCTGCAATTTCAAAATTGTTTCTACTTTCACTTTATATTCTACTCGTAATCATTGGAAGAAATTTGTTTTTGTAAGGATGTTGATTCAAACATTCTTATGACAAAAAATTCCGAAATGACCGCAATCAGTTTTGGTCCAGACATCAATATGCCCGTTCATCGAATCGATGGTGCAGCAAAAATTGTTTTATCCACACTGTTCCAGATATTTTTTCAGTTTTGCGTTCTCAAATTTTGCTCAACTTTTCCACGTTGTTTACGTTTCGATCACTTGGTGGCTCTTCTATGAAGCTCCAAATACGCAGCTAATTTTTCTCAAATTTTTACCAACGTCACAGTTGGCTTTTTATGATATGGGTGCTTAAAACTTTTAGTTCATGCCGTGTCTCCAGTGGAGTGAGTGAGAATGCATTTGGAAACCAGGGACCTATCGAACTCAAACCATCGGCGCAAATGGATCTCCACGTCGGGAAAACAAAATGGAAGTTGGAAGTATATGGTTCCAGGTGAAAAATTTCTTCAAATTTTCGTTTTGATCACTTTTTTGATTATTAGAATGCTCGACGTAATTGGCTTTCATGTGCCATGTGTTACAAAATGGATGCGTGTCCCTATTCCCCTTTCTCCTTTTTCTTTTCTGAGAAACTATTTCTTCCATAATGGAAAATGTGGTACATATTACACTGAATTTGAAGGTGGAAATTCTGACAAAATCTTGCCACTTACCAAGTCCACTCCAGCCCTGCACTCACCAGCATAGGCGAGCTCGATGATACGGCCATCATGACGATGTGCCTAAATCGAATTTTTCACGTTGATTCTTCGTTTTCGCTAATCCGAGTTTCTGTTTAATTCTTCTCAAATATCCAAAAAGCATTTTTTTGCACTCACGAAAATCGCTGAATTGGGGATTAAGTATGACCTGATTTTTTAGAATAAGGGGGCCTACGAATTAATTACTAGCAGCTAAGAGAAAAGCGGCTTCCTGGCTCGTTTAGTCTTTTGGCTCCGACTGGATCACAGGGATAACTGGTGAAGAAGGCTGTGCAATAAGCCGAGGGCTCTTCATTGGGTAAGGGATCCTATTTGAACCCTTAAAGCAACAGTCCAGGGAGGGTTTCAACTAATCCAAAGCTGAGGTGTGGAAGCATGCCCCAGCCCAAGTGAAGTCGAAAGGAACTGTCACTGAAGTAAAAACTCACTTCTGAAATGCGTGAGAAGGGCTCGAAGTTCGTCGAAAAGGGCGGGTCAACCGAGCCTCGATTGACCCGCCTCCTTGCTGCTGTGAAGAGCGCTTGCTCGAATAGCGGTCGTTGCGGGACCGCCGCGCTGTATCAGGTCGATTCCATGAGAGCGCAACTTAAGCGCTTCAATTTCGATTGCTGGCAAAATAGTTAATTGTATTTGCAAGCATGCATGGCTATTTGCCAGCAGATGCAATGGAGCGCATGTACTAGGGGCAGGTTTCGGACAACTCGTCCAAGCACGTCTCCCTAAACGCAGGGAGTCCCTGTCTAAGCCCTGCCCGACGTTTTTTTCTACTTTCTCTCCCATTGACAACTTCTCACCTGCAACGTCATTATAATGGTCCTTACCCACGAATTCGTTCCTGATTGTTGCTTAAAGGCACATAGGCCGCAATGGCTTGAATAAAGGGTTATATCTTCAAGATAATATTGGGATCTCTTCAGTGACTTTTGGAACATTTGAAACTTCTCTAGTGCATTTCTGAACTTTTACTGGTTCCCTTATTGTATAAACTCGCATTTGATATTATTAGGTTGTTCCATAAGTCTTGCAACAAATTACATTCGATGCTAGAAAATTTTTGTGAGAACTCCGAACAATGCGCAACATGTTTGCTTACGTAGAATATACCTTTGCTATTTCAGCCACCATCCAGCTGGCTGTCTGGTTAGTTGTTGTGGATCTTACATCGATTTCGCGAAAAGGTCTTCGTGCACATAATTCTTACGAGTACTGTTTGGAATGTTCCGCAATTCAGGCTACACCAAGCATTTGCCAGAAGATGGGCGAGGACACGCTCTCTCAGTTCCTGGTGCACAGGCGTCACAGTCTGCTCACTGTTGAACCTTTATTTGAATATGATCCACACTCCAACCACCCCGTGGCTGACAACCACGATGCTCTATCTGGCGCTGCTGAAAAGGGATCTGGATGAACTATCGAACATTTGTCAGAGCAATTTCGATGCAACAAGGATACAGCACTGTGGCATCTCCAAAAAATATGTAAAGGTCCGAAAATATAGAGTTTAGATTCCACATGCCTTGAGCCCGAATCAGCCCCAAACACGATATGGCAACACCATGTTCAGGTCGGGTTACTATCGACTCTTCGATAGCCCATCACATTTGTCGTCGATGTGGAGGGAGTACAGTGTGCTAAGTAATAAACAAACGGCGACAGTCTAGCTCGAACGCTTCGGAAGCTCTTACTGCTCAATTCCAACCTCGTCCAAGTAGGGCCTTCTTGGATTTTTCGTGGAATGCGAGAGGATTAGGTTCTGACAACCCTTACATGTAGATATCGCAGTCAACGTAGAAATCAACTGATTGCAACGCTCTCAGTACAAAAGAAAAGCGATACAAAGTTTGCTTTTTTATGACGCCCTTGAACCGCCTCTTGCTAAGAAGTTCCAAGAAACCTTTGGACTCTTGGACGGGGAAATCTTCCGTATCCAGCTTATAGCTCCGACCTCGAGCCAAAGGATGCCCACCTGCATCCCTCTGCAGACCACGTTCTAGAGAAGAAATCGCATCCCAACCATTGTGATGTCAAAATCGACACCTGATCTTTCCTCGATTAGCATTCAGCGGAATTCTACAAGAAAGGCATTGAACAGCCGACGTTGACACTAGTTTGTAGGTATTGATGGTGTGTATCATGCTGGATGAGTGGAACAAAAGAAAACAAAAATGTTAAGGTCAAAATTTAGCCAGTTTGTTGCAAGACTTATGGACCAACCTAATATTTTCGAGAAACTGGGAGAATGTAAGTTGAAATTAGTAATTAGAGTGGAATTGAAAAGATCGTGTGGACCTAACTCGAGGGTGAGTAGGGACGTTAGGGAAATCTCTTTTACAGAGAAGACCCAATAATTCTGTTGATCCGCGACTAATGAATTTTCAAACCTTGCATGCGAAAAACTTGAACAGGCACATGTTTTTGTGTGTCCGGTTGTTTGAGTCGCAGACGGGATTCCTCGCCTTGTCACATTCGGCGGCCGAACACGGTTGTGTCATGTCGAATGGCTGAAACTGGACAGAAAGCGAAATTGACGAGTCGGACTTATCAACATAGCCAATTGGATTTCAATGAAGATCAATGTACACATTCGTTCTGCTGACAAAGAATCCTCAGCGCAGATAGACCAAAATTAAGCTGGTGTGGGCTCGACAATTAGAACAGAGGATCGCGTCAAACCGGTGATGAAGAAAAAAGGGAAGGAAACCACCAAAAATCGCAAAAATGGGAATCTTTCTAGGCTGTGCGAAACCACCAAAAACCCCAAAAATGGGATCTTTTTAGGCTGTGCAGGGTTTTCAAAGAGAGAAAGCAAGATAATGAGTGCAGCGGAGAGGGAAAAGAACAGATGACGAGAGAGAATGGGTACGAGTAAGAGCATATTTGACGTGATATGCCGTTCCATGGGTGAAGCCTCGGGTGCTGGGTGAAACCAAGGCAATCCAGCGCCTTAGCTCCTTTAACTAGCAAATTCGTGCCATTAGATCGCTACAAAACGTATGCTAGCCAGCCCGGTCAAGCTTTATCGCGCTAAGGCTACACTACTGATCCGGTGCCAGCTTGTGCCTTTGACACGCATGTTTAGTACTGAACGACCCGGTTGAATCTGAATACTTCTATGGTCGCATAAATAATTCAGCCCAACCAGTGGTAGAGTCGATTGCAGACTCGAAAGAGTTTGAAGCTCGTGCTTCTGGGTTTGTAACCGATAGTTGTTGGGTTTGAGCGACTGCATTATTTGAAAAACACATCCTGAACGAGTGCATGTTTTCACTGTGGCATCTCGACCTTGTTGTTTCTGGTCCGACAAACATTCGCCTACGCACCGGTGATGGACAGCGTCAGGTGAAGGTGGATCACGTGGCGAAGAGATCTCTTTGAAACGACCCTCCTCCTCCCCTCCCTCCCCCCACCACAGGAACATACTTGAGATATCAGCTCACCCCGATTGCCACACAATGTTACCCCCATCCCCTCCCATCCTGCCATACCATCAGGAAGCTATGCCAAATTCACTAAAAAATGCACTGTTAGCGACGGGAGGGGCTTCGCGACGGCACCCTGGCGTCGGTTACTCCTCTGAAATTAACTCCACTCATATTAGAGGCCTACTCATGCGCTTGCCTCATGGTAAGGGTTTATCCCTCCTTTTCAGTCACCACCACTCTTTAAGTGGGTTAAAATGCTGCTTGACGAGACAATTTCCCTGTTGTCGCGCTAATACCATCATCGGCGGCGGTGGCGAGAGTTTCGATACGGAACTTTAACAGTTGGACAGATCGAAGACCACAACGGCCACATTCCACTCACCTGTAAGATGGCAGAAACTGAAATTGTTCTCGGCAGCAAAGTTGTCGGCATCGATTCAGCTAGTAACTCTACAGCAGATGACAGTAGACCGCTGGATATGACTCTGAAGAGAAGTACTCAGGTTCAAATAATCGAAAGAGAATAACTGTGGTCGGAAAGGAACCGACGTCTTCGAGTTCATATCCGCTGTGATGGTTCCATGTTCATCAATCGTTCTAATCATTGGTGCAGTCGCTTCTACAGCTGCATTTTCGGATCAGTCCTGCTAGCTAGTTCATCCTTCTTCAGACCAAAGGCCGCCTGTTCGGATGATATCAGTGAGTCGATATCGTCGATAAATACCGACGGCACAGCACGTGCCTTCACAGCTCTCAGCTGATTCTGGAGCGGATTCATGTCGTCGTTCTCTACTTTGGACTCTGATGAAGATTTCTGGGGCAGCAGAAGTGATTCCACATCTGAACTTGTCACATTACCGAGCAAGTCATGAGTTATTTGTAGAGCTTTTCAAGTCGTACCTCCAGCAGTTGTCGAAACGTTGCCACTAGCTGGTTCCTTTCTCACTCTCTCACCACTGCCTTCAGTAAGGTCTGATAGGTCTGTAATAATTTTCGAAAAAAAATATAATAATATAAAATATCTACGCTAATGGTGACCTTCTTCAAGACTAGTAAACAAACCACTTTGACTGGCTTCCGTTGTCGCCACACCCATGGGCTGGATGCATTCTCCATAGTGACGCAGTAAAATTTCCGGTTTACCCTCGTTTCTCAGGTGGCAGTTCATTTTTTCAAACCTGAACTTCATGTGAAAAATAAACTCTATTTTTTAAAACATTTCCAAGTTTGCCATAGCGCGGAGTGCTAAAACTGTATGTAACACGAAAATTGATCAACAATAATAGTATAACCTAAAGAATAATAATATAATATCTATTGTGCTGTAATAATTTATTTATTAATTTATTGCATGCTTAGGTGCGCTACATTAATTCACACCTTGGCATCAGTAAAACTGGGGAACGCAGAACATTAATTGAGTGGACCAGCTAGGCAGCAGTCGAGATAAGGAGATGATTTTCCAGGACTAAATTTTGAAAAGCAGAGATGTCGACAAGTGCAAATTTGGAGGTTCCTGTAGGCCCAATGAAGGTGCACTCGAACAGAAATGTGTTCAGTATTCGTCAGTCAATGTTTAGAAGTCAATGGGCGCTTAGCGATAGGGATAACGCCACTCCTAGACGGGTACGAAGCATACGCATGGAATCAGAAACTGAATTTTCGGATGTTAGGTCCCCTATCCCTAACAATTCAGCTTCTGATCCGCCACAGATCAAGCCCAATCTTAAAACAACCGTTTATGGGTGACTACAATAATTATTCTTTTATTATGAATTATTCTCAGTGAGGTTATGATCTGGAGGTCTCCTTATCATGCGCTTGGAACTGATTCACGACAAATAAATGAATTCACAAGGCATAAAACACTATGAAGTATTAAAAAAAGAAACACAAAAAAGGACATAAATATTAATACAGTAATAATATATTAATTCTGTCTTGATTGATTTGACTGCTGTTTTATCGCTGCAGTTCGCGTTGTGTATGCTTCACGAGAGTGCTGGGTTATGACAAAACTGTCGCCTAGGCAGGACTTGAACTCTCACCTCTCGCTTAGCAGGCAAGGGCGAAACAAGTTACGCTACCGGGCATCATTTCGCCCAACCTTGTATTTCATAATACCATGATAGTAAATTATAATATAGTAATTCGTGCTTATTTGGAAGATTTTTCAGGCCGTCAATTGATGGATGTAAGGCAAGGAGAATTCTATCTTTCTGGTTTTTGTGTAGGATTAGCCTACAATCAAAAAAGTTATATCAGAAAAACTTAACAGTGTGCAGTTATCCCTATTAACATAATTAATCCTGTTAAACTATAGAACTTTTATAGTAAAGTAACCTCCCCTTGAAAAAGTGAGAACATGTCGGGTGCGGACCAAACATCACAACTGACGACGGCCTCCAAGTAAATCTAGTTTTTCAACATTTAACATTTTCTCGCTTTCTGAAGGGGAGGGCAGCAGTTCAGCCAAAGGTGCATAAAGACATTTGGTGATTTATTATTTTGTTTCAAGTTTCCTACAACACTAAACTCCAACCCTATCTCTTTTTTCGCACCACTACCTGCTGTTGCCCTTGGACTCATAGTTACTTCCATTAACACATTCACGACGACGCCCCTTTTCCACTTTCCGGTCGCGTGGGACGGACGCGATTTTGTGGGCTCCGCCGCCTCACCACATGACCGCAGATTTTGTTTTGTAAATAAACAGAAAGATGAATGTCACAAAATAATTTCTGCCATGTCCAGTGCGTAAAGATTATCTGAACATCTAACAGTAGATCTTTGATCAGAACGACAAATAGTGGTTACGAAAAGAGAGCATTTATGCACCTTCCCCGTGAAGCATCTTTAGCATTTCTCACTCCATTACGAGGTATGTCCACTTATCCGTCCATTCCCTAGCGCTTAGCAAGCGATTATCAGTTGGCAGCCCATATGGGCGGCCATCGGCGTGAATGTGTTAATGGGGATCGAACTAAGTCTTATCAGATGATACCAGCTATTCGGTCAGCCATTCTCCACATCACATATCTGACGAAAACATAACCAAAGCAAAATTCCCAGAGATTTTTACTAAAGCAAAAAATACAGGAAAATCACTCAAAAATTAAATAGGAAGTGTTTTCCCAATAAATCAAAGGAAATAAGGGGACACCGCTCTAACTTAAAGTACTGTACAATAATCAAGAAATTTAGAAGTTATTATAAATTTATTCCACTACTTATCTGTTTTATAAAAGCGAGTCTACATAGGAAAAAGTTCGAAAAGCCCACATGCATTCATTTTCATGTGTGACGTCATTCTCGTCACAGACAGCCGTGTCGTTGCTGAATAGACAACCAGCTTGACAGTCTTCTCGTTGTCGTTCATTATCCAAGCATGCCCCGTCGTGGCTCTGGTAGATAAACAATGATTCAGGTGTAGCGGAAAATAAAAAAATTGTGATAAAATCAAGAAAGGTAGCGAATGAAAGCTTCAAAGCTCATGTTGTTTGAACGCGTTTTGGGACGCGCCAAGCACTCTACGCCCATTCGGGATCGTAGTGGTCATTTGAACGCAGTGTGGCCTTTCCAATGATTTGCGCCGGCTAGCTGATGCATAAGTTAGTGTTTTTATCCTCCTAGACAAGTCTGGTGCTAATGAACCAAACCCGGGGGATGGAAGGCTCGGCTGACCCGGACGACGCAGGATTCAGGATTAGATCTCCGGACTGTGCGCATGGTAAGCAGTCTCCCTTGCAGCTACACCACTTCCGCTTAATAGAAAGAATATTCGTGAAAATAAGTTTTAAAAGTTAACAGTCACAGCATAATATACAGTGAACGAGATCGTTACCTTCAGTAGAACCCGTCCGCTTGCCTTTCTCACCAGACATTGCATTCGGAAGAAAACACACTCGTTGACAAAAGTTCGGCCTAGAAATGTGTTTTCGATTCAAAATTCCATACCTCAGAATCTTCTCCAATACAAAAAGATAAAGTAAAAATAAAAGTACAAATAGAACTGTATTGGTAGAAGTGGAACGGCTGTGGTAAAAGAATGCCACTAAAAAAGGGATTGAATGTTGGACGAAGAATAATCCTTTTCTAGATGCGCCAACATTCTACGTTCATTAAAAATCGTACTCAAACAGCCAGTCAGTGTGTCGAAATATTCAGTGTTTTTGCCCGCTCTTACGATCATGGCACTGATGGAATGACCTCAGGGTAGACGCTTTGCTGGCTTAGGCAGTAATCGATCCAGGATTTGCAATAGTTTGATTTCCTGATCAAGTGTTTAGGCTTGCCACTTACTTTCCACCTCTTCTCCCTTCCAAACAATACTAGAACATTGAGACCAGGGTAAGTGACTTATCTGCGATGGTATGCCACAAAAAGGTGGACGGTCAAATCTGGCCGCGAAAGTACATGGATTTCCTAGGTCGGCGGAGTCCCCAACTGCTTCCAGATACTAGCATTTTCTGATGGCTTTTCTGTCTACTAAGACAATCGCCCATCCTGAAGAATAACACTTATGAACGAGCCGACAAACCATTTTAAAAAACCCTACACTCAACGTGATTCACTGCGACGTTCTCCTTAGCAAGGATGTATGTTTTGTATGCTCGGGTTGAAATTTTTGTAGTGAATGGCTAAGTTATTTAATTAGGATGGGCGTGAGAATTATAAGTATGGAGATTACGAAATAGCCGAGGCCTGATAACTGGTTGGCCGTGACCGGCGAATATAAAATAAGAAATAAGTGGAAATTATGAAAAAAAGATTAGTAAAAATCAAAGCCGTCACGGTGATCCTACCGTAATTATCACATATCGGACTCCGATGTGTTGGGCACAGATTCCTGGGACAACATGGACCCGGATAGGCGAATTTTGTGCCTAAAATGGGAAATTGTTCAGTTCGTGGATACTGTTTATGGAAGTTGTTACTTGTTCGCTTGCATTCTAAAAAAGCAAACTTAAAAACAGCGATTACGATAAGGAGGGAGCGCATCGGGGAAGCATATGCACCACACGAATCAGCTACTTGGCTGTCAGGGAAGTGAGTTGTAGCGCTTTGACGAAGAGAAGTGCGCTGCTTGCTGAGCAGCACTTCGAAAGCGCTCCGCCCCCGAAAGCGATCCGCCCACTGGTTTAGTTGGTGATTTGGACGAGCGGCGTTGCCAGCAGCGGCACAATTGAGTATCTCGATTTGAATTTTTTATGGTGCCACCAAACGCGTTGCGATGAACTCGTTCATAAGTCCGCTTTATGAGCTGTTACTTGTTTATGAGTGAAAACCAAAGGTCAAAAAGGGATCCTATTCTGCGTTTTCTTGACGGATTTCTCCGCTTTTTTCGCCACTGGCGTACCATTGAGCACCATTACGTCTCCTTTAAACTCTTTTTGAACTATCGTATTCACTGCCTTTAAGTATGCAGTTCAGGACGAATTCGGGTCATCACTTCACCTATGGTAGGTATAAAGCAGAAAAATTATCTCTTTGACCATTCAATCAGCTTTTTTGGTGGGTAACTAGAGATTTGAAAAAGCAAGAATTAACGCTAGAAACTAGTGCACAATTAACATAATTTTGACTTGTTTTTGTTATTTAACTGCTGTTTTTGATCGCAGTTTATCTTGCGAATGTTTCACAAGAATGCTGGGTTCTGAACAAAACTTTTGCCCCAGGCGGGACGAGAATCCACCCACATCCCTCGCTTTAAAGCGCTCTAAAGCAAGAGGTGCGGGTTCTAGTCTCGCCTGGGGCGAAATTTTGTTCACAACCCAGCATTCCTGAGAAATTCACGTAATATTATAGCAGATGGGTTGAAACATCACCCCCTGGTTTAGTCGGTTATTTGGACGAGCTGTGTTGCCAGCAACGGCACAACTGGGGCAACTCGATTGGAGACTGGGTTGGCATGATGCCGTCGGCACGTCGCATAAACTCGTCCATACGTCCAACGGTCCGCCTATGAATAAAAATAAATGGCCGATTAGGGAGGGGGCTGTTGCGTTTTATTTTTTCTTTTTATTCTCTGCTTTTTTCGCCATTGGCAAACAATAGTGCACCCCACGTTTCCTTCAAGCCCCTCCAAAACCTATCGTAATCACTGCCTGCCTCTCAAATGACTCATGCACCCAGCCTAGTTGACCTGATGAGTTTATACAGACGCTTTGTCTGATGAAGCAGCGCACTTAATGGTGTACCCCATTTCTGAGGTAGTTTTTCTTGATCAGTCGACTAAAACGCTTGTAAAACGCTTTTCACCTGTCCATTAAAGTGCGACGGGCGCAACGTTTTACGACCAAACACTGTTCTTCTCACCGCACGTGTAACACACTTCATCATTAACCACATAAGGCATGAAAAATTGCGAAACACAAGAAGCAGAAACTCACTGGCTATCTACTTCCGCCAATATTTTATTGGTTCCACGTTTCCCTATGAATTCTAGTTAATTTGAATTTTTTTACATAAATTTGATAATTGAGCTTAACATCTTATATTATTGTATTCGATCATTCAAGTTGGGTCGGTACCACATGTGCTGGGCTACGTATCCAGGAATTTTTCTAATGAATACGACCCCCCATCCCTCTCTCATCTGAGGTCCTACTCACGAACCCAATTAATGACAAGCCCTACCTTATCCAACCTGAACCTAATCGATATGACACATTGTTACTGAAAAACGCCATTCTGGAAAAAAGGGAGAATTTTTTTCGAAGCCACAACAGAAATAAATTTAAGAATCGCGAAATTATGGTGATTTTCTGAATTAGCGTAAAAGTTCGCACCTTCTCAGGCTACCTCCTCCCCAATGCCGTAACTGAATCCATTTCTTAGATCTTCTGAAAAGCTGCCTAGAAACAAGAACACCCCATCCCCTCTCCCGCTTGACCGCAAGGAATGAGTACGCAGAGTCTCTAGCCAACTAGTAAAGTATCAAATAAAATCAAACGAGCTGATTAAGATTAAAGGTTACAATTGAGAGGCTTTTGATATGATAGGGAAGAACAATGAAGACCAAACTCGCGATATGATTGATATTCATGAAAGAATGGTGGGTAGTGGATAGGATAAGTAGTGGATAGGCTAAGTAGGCGGAGTATGGCGCTTTCGCGGCAGTACTTGCCCTATCAACAACGTTGTGAGGAGCAAAACGGATGTCCATCAAAATTCAGATGCCCCGTATCCAGATGATGCGCAACTTTCTTCTCAGGAGCCCCTTTCTTATCTATCCGCCTCACGTGGATCTATCTAGCTTTAGCTCTCGCGTTCTCCTACAGATGGTTCCTCCGCGCAGGACGAAGACATATTATTATGACTGTTACATGTGAATTCTAGTACTTATCTGACTGCAAAAGCAACGGCCACCGAAGCGGAGGTAAGTAAACCAGCCCTTTTGGCGTTTCGGCTGGGACCGTATGCTGAATGTTGGGGAGGGGATGGGGTCCCCAACGGTCGACGGTTTACTTCAACTCGGTTGGTACGATAGGAGAGTACTGACGCATGTGGTGCAGCTGGTCCAGCAGCTCCGCCAGAAGCTAGTTTGCTCACCCCAGGTCTGAGCCTTGAAGAGGGTACGGACCCGTCCTCTCTAGGAGCGATAGTTTCTGAGGTAGGCACCAAATTGTGGCGGTTCTAAGGACCGAGTTGAAGTGGTCCGTCCACCGTCGGGGACTCCATCCCCTCCCCAACATTCAGCATACGGTCCCAGCCGAAGCGCCAAAAGGGCTGATTTGCTTACGTCACCGAAGCGTCAACAGCCGTGGTCGCCTCGTCCAAATTTGAACTCGGAGGGAGAAAGAGGTGCCATTCTCTGGTTTTTAAATTTGGTTTCTCCTACACTCTTTTCAGACGCACCATTGGCACCTCTACGTTCACATTTCAGCGTTATAAGCTTATCGAAGTTCCGCCTTTAACTGTGGGAAGCTCCTGAGTTTTTCTTGCCATCGAAACGAGTTCACTCATTATTATCCTGCCGTTCTATTTCCAGAGTACCACGGGAAGAGCTCAAAAGACAACCTTATTTGACACCTCATCAAAGGTTACCTCATTATCAGCCCCCATTCTTATAGACACGTTTTTCCTTTCGTACGATTTCATCGATTCCATTAGTGTAGAGGTCATTCGTTGGCAAAAGGCAGTCTACCGATCAGAAAACAGTGGCCGTGAATAGCTATTAATTTCCCAAATCGGTTTTAGCCCCGGTTTTAGCCCTGAAATAATCTCATTGAGAACTCGTTGAATAGTGTTAGTGGTTTTGAGAAGAATTTCAGGAAATTTGTGCCCAACATGTGTAATTCTTAAGCGTAGTATTGGAATATCAAGTACCCCTGGAAACTTCAAAACCACATCTAGCAGAGCTTTTTGTTCAGAGATTATACCTCTGTATAATTACGACGCTTAGGGCCAAAGCTAGAACCCTAGATAAAATTGTTGAAGTGATGGCAGTCAGTAATCAAGTTATGGATACCGAGTTAAATGTTAATGAAAAAAGAAGCAAAACAACCAGCCGATGGAGCCTTCAAACAAGGACTCCCTCTCTTCGTCCTTCGAATGAGGGAAGGGCGGTTCGGACGAGTTGTCTGAATCTTCATAAATGCTCCATAGCTCCATTAACCCGCGCTTATTTCAGTAAGCCGCTACGTCGTAATCCACGTTACGTGTCATGGGCTACGCGCGAGATATCTCGTCAATTAGCTCCTATTAGTCGCCATTAGCTTACTTTGAAAACCTCTAGCGCCATGGTCGCGCACCGAGACGCGACAGAAACTCAACTGTGATGCCCCGGGTACTTTATCCTGCCCACACTCTTGATGGCTTGACACGACCCCATCTGCAGTTTGCGCCACTACGCGTACGATTTCACACGAAATAGCATAGTTTCGGCTCTGACACTTCACTGGACAGATGGGGTACATGGCAATGGTGCGGCAATGGTTTGGGCTAGTTGCACTTATTTTCAGAGTCGGGAAGCACCTGTCATGACTGATAGAATTGCGGATAGATTAATGATGATTCGTTTTTAGAACACATAAAATAATACGGAGAAAATCGTACGACGGGCGGCTCGCAATATGTTAGCCCTTTGGCGACAATGGCACCCACCGCTGGGTGCCAGTATGACCGTCGCATGGGACAATGGCACCCAATGCTGGGTGCCACCCTAAAATTTTCTTCTTCACCCATCTGAAACATTTTCAACATATCATTAATCATAAGCAAGCTCTGTTACGCCTATCTTTAGCATATTTTGCAGAAATGTATTACTAACTAATTTATGTGAAATTTTAGGATATGGTTTTTCGCTGGGCGATGTATTAACTAGTGTTTTCCATTATTAAGCTTGAGGAGATTTACAGATCAGGACCTCTACGTCTTTTGACAATCTCAAGACACGTGGAGCAGTTTCAACTATATCAAAAATTCTACTGTACATTTGAACTTCTGGAGTTTCGAACACAATCCCTTTGAAATCCGAGATTTCTTTCCAAACTTCCAATTCTAATTCCAACAATCCATGATCATAAAGCTTAAGACTTCAGCCATATTTTGTTTATTGTCATTGTCAAAATTTTGATAGGGAAACTGCTTTTAGGGACGATTGCCCAATTTTGTGCGAGAGTTGAGCGCGCCAAAAAGATAATAAAGGTTCCTCAATTGTGCATTTGACCTAAATAACCTAAACTGATTCACCATTGAAAGTATTCAGCTTCCAGGCTGTAATGCAAGGGATCCTTATTTGCTGCGAGTTTGTTATTATGCGTAGTTGCTCTAAGATCTCATGCGACACTTTAAAAGCTCAGAGGGGTCCATATAACCCAAATGGGATACGGAATGTAGGATGGGCTCGGCTCGACCCTGCACTGCTGTAGCGGCCTTGCCGATCCCACGGAATTGGAGGGCGTATGTTGATATATAGATGGAAACAATCGCTTTCCATTTTCTTTTTCAACCACTTCCATGACGTCTGCCGACTTTCATATTGATGGTTACGGTTAGTGTGATAAATTCACGGAATTAAACCACTTCCTCGATTTTCTGATTCATATTCTGGCAACAGAATTTTTTTCAGAATTATAGAGTGCAAGAGTTGAAGATAGTGAGCTCTGTGTTGACCATGCCGTTTTGGGATGCGCCACGCACTCTATTCCATTCAGAGTCGTGATGGCACTCGAACGCGATTTGGCTTGTACAGTTAAGGGACCCACCCAATTTTCTAGTTCTGCCTGCTATTTATTCCTTATAAGATGAATTTGCTGAATGCTATTGCTAAGTGCCTAATCGATATGGAAGTCAATGTTCTCATTCTGCCGGGAAGGGACGGCAGTGTACCATTTAAGGGCTAGGAGGAGTAGGAGACGTCGTTATGTGGAGTGAGCCCAGGAGGATACTACGATGAACTTCGAGGAAAATGAAAAGCGTGAAAAGCGTACACCCATTCCGTAGTCTTCCGCCTCAGAGGTTTGGTCCTAGGAAGGAAGGGAGACTTACCAGGAAAGGCACTCATCTCCCCTTGGAACTCTGAGTTAAGACCCAGACACGTCGATACAGTTTCAAACGCTGATTTTAAAGGTGGAAACCAAGACTGCAAATTAAACCTTCCAAAGAAGTTGTGAGCAGTCAAATTTGGCTGAACGTCAAGCGTTATGTGTTATCCGTGCTAGCCTCCGGGCTTTTAGGGTCGCCATGGAGTAGTGGTAGCGCCCTCGAAATTTGTACTCCAGCGGGAAAAGAACTTGTAGCCGCTTGGGTGAAGAGTGAAAGCGCGACCACTACTCCGCGGCGAGTCTGAAGCCTAGAGTCCAACACGCTTCATATCCAACATTACCTTTAGATGCTCACAACTTGGCACGTTCATTTTGCAATTTTAGATTCCATATTTTTAATCGGCGTTTGAAGCTCTATCGATATATTTGGGTCTTAAGACAAAGTTCCACAAGAAGATGAATGGCTTTCCTAGCTAGAGGAAATGCTGGCTGGGTTGGGTTTCCCGCATAAAGATGCTTTCTAGGTAAACTTGCTCCCAGGAAAGTGTGGTACCAAAACCAATCCGCGAGTGATAGACGGTTGGTTGAATTCAATGGCATTCGATCTAGAAACTGAGCCGCGGTCCACCCACCTGGTACCCGGGCCAATTGCCGTTACTACACTTACACGGTTACAAGGCTTCTGTCAACCAGGGGATGAGAGCGTAGAAGGAAAGCAGACGTCTTTGTGGTAGTGGGACTAGCCTTTTGAAGGAGGTAAAGCAAGCGGAGATTCTGTAATAGTGTGTCCGTGTGAGAGCTCCCAGACAGCACAACAAAACGATGAATTGCCTACCCTCACGGTTGACAGATGTCCGGAGACCCACTT